GACAGAACCATAAATGTAAGCAAACGGGGGAGATGAGGATGTGGGTCAATACAGGCCCTCACCTTCTGCCTTTAGACGATTGCTAAAAATAAACTCACTTTGGAGTGACTGTATGATTAAAGCACGTCTGAGGATATTTTACAGCTGTCGTACTATCATATATGTTGTTTGTGTTTGTTTTTGCTGGAATATAAATGATACACTAGGAATAATGTTGCTTAGTATTCTTTTTCACAGACAGATTTCCATGTATGTGTTGGTTAAGCGAGACAAAAGTTCAAGAAGTTTTCAAATGTCTGAACATGAAAGTTTACTCCTGGCAAGAAAAACCTTGAACAAATGTTTTATTCAGTGGCATCTGATTAGCAAAAGGATTTAAAAGATGGGTTGTAAAAATTTTAATTAGGGAAATTAAATAATTAGACATGTTAAAACCTCTTTTAAACTCCTCCAATGTCAGCTTCACTGATCATGTTAAGTTAACGTTTCTGCACAACCATACTGAACGACACAAACTGTACTGGTTTATGATTTCCTATAAGACAAAATAATTTTACATTTCTTTTAAGAAGGTAAACTTATTAGGGAAGGAAAAGGGTAATTCATCCAAAGCCAATCATAATTCCCCTCATTTTAGAAGGCGTATCTGTCGTGACATCACAAGCTGCTTTGAGCCCCGCTTCCTGGCGGGTCTCCAGACGAACAGACCTTCTGCTGCCCACAGGGTGGCAGCGGCCTAGGGCAAGACAGCAATGGCCAGGTCACCAGCTCTTTTCCTCCTGCCTGGCACCAGCACCACAGGGAGAAGAGGATGGCAAGATGTCAGAAACAGCAGAAACAGACCCTTTAGACGTGTTAAAAAGCAGGCACAGCTAGAGGAGGCTGTTCATTGAGCATTACAGAGTGACGGGGGAAACCATTCAACTCTCAATAAACATTAGGCACCATTATATGGCTGATGTGAGCAGGAAGTTTTTAACAGTTTTCTTTGTATTACATCTACAAATTTCAGTGGATTTCATTTGACAGAATCCAGAGAACTTTAAAATGTTTAAAAAATGTAAACAAATAAAACTTGCTTAAATTTTAAATCTCTGGGTATGCAAAAAAGACATCCAGAGATTGACATTTTTATTGCATTACCTTAAAATAAAGTTTTTTATAGATTAGGTCATCATCCTATAAATTGAATTTGCTTATGTTCCAGCTTCTAAAACCTTTCCCTCTTGCAGCCTCTAAAAACTTTCCCTGGATTTGGATATTTAGCTCCATCCATTTAACTCTGACCAGCTTCCCTCTGCCTGATCAAGAAAACCAGCGCCACATGATACTGCTGCCACCGTGTTTAGGAATAGTGGGTTTCAGTTGATGTGTGTGATGTGTTAGTTTTCCACCCTTTTTTTAGCAGGTTTGTTAAAAATGAAGTTAGCATGTTGCAAGGGTTTAAGCTAGACCTCTTAAAAGGCTTTGATCCAGCAATGCCTTTCCTCTTGCTACTAAACTCATTTGATTTGTGATTTTCTGCAGCTCCTGACTTTTGGCTATTTCTCTTGGTATTTGTGCAGTTTTGACATACTATGACCATTTTTGGTTGAAAACTGAACAGAATTGTTAGAGAAGTTTAAAAGTTATTGTTCTATTCTATTATTTGGCCCTGCTGCAGAGACTCCCCAACTTTCTCCCTGACCTGTTCCAAGGGTTCCTAAATAATCAGGAGGTTGTTTATTCTCTAAGGTTCTCTAAACATGTGATGACTTCAGAAAACAGCTGGATTTATACAAAGATTAAGTTGTAAAAATGTGACATCTGTTGTTCAAACAAGCATTTATTTAGACTTATCAATCCACACCTTTAGAGTTCTTTGAAATCTGTAATCTAACATCCTTATAAAACATATGGAGGTTTGTGCTGCTAACCTGAGAAAAACACAAAAAGCTTTAAGTTGCTGTTAAACATACTATACTTTGTCAGGTTATGCTGTTTTTGATAAGCATCGTCTAATTTTTCCCTATAAAAATCCTTTTTATAAAGGCTCATTCGGGGGGTTTTATGGTTCCAGTCATGATTGTATAAATAGAAAAACAGCTTTGTAAAACATTACCAATGGAAACTCTCCCTCCAAAAGATTCATTATAAAACCAAAAGAAGAGTGGTTTCAAACACGTGAAAAGATTTGAGAGTGAGGATGCGCTATGTGTCATAGAGAATTTCTACTCCTGACTAATGTTTTACCATCAGCGTATGTCTTCACAGGCCTTGCAGTTTGTCAAATAAAGAAAGAGAAAGTAAGCAGGGTCTGAGTTTTAGGTTATTTGATTTAACTTCATACAAAATGAAGGCTTTAGGGACAAATCAAATGAAATCAAATTTATTTGTATAGCCCTTTACAATAACCAAATGGTACCCAAAGTGCTTTACAACAAAGCCATAAAAACAATATATAACACATATAAAAACATACAAGATACAATTAAAAGTGCTGTAGTGGTGCACTGCTGCAGGACATTAAAAGCCTTCCAAATATGACAATCAACACAAATTAGACTGATTCATACAGTTTGACAGTCTTAACAAGTTTTAAAACTTTGTGTTTTTTTTGTCACACACAAAAGGATGATTTACCTTGTTTGGATTTTTTAGATAACACAAGGTTACCCTTTAAGAAGTGGAAGAGAAATAACACTGTGATAGCTACTAGGTGTGCACCATGAGGTCCCAGATGTTTGCTTCATCCAGCAAACATTTTTTCAAAATTTTTTGGTCAACATGTCAAATGAATTCACAAAGAGGAAACTAACAATCCCCGTCACTCTGAAAACACAATTCAATGTGAAATATGGCAGGACTTTCACTGTGCTGTAAAGATAAGTTTTTTGAGAAGAACAGTAGTAGCAAGTAGCAGAGATAGATGTAAGGATTGAGCTAAATACGTCACTATTTCCCAAGGTTTGGGTTGTGACCCCACTTTTGCTCCTTAGTCAACCACTACGGGGTCTTGAGATCCACTACAGAACCTAAACACAACATCAAACAGTTACATAGCTTTTTGAAACTGCTTATAATGTTATTTAACACATCCTCAATTGATTTTGTAGAAAAGTTTGCATACTAAATCTCTAGTACGGGTTATGAGTCAAATCTTATACCATTTATGTGTCAAAACCTGAAAATCTAAGGAACCTCTGAAATAGAGGATTGTTGGGGGTGGTGGACGGTCAAAAGCATCAAGTTACTTTTTTCCCCTAGCATTTTATTGTAATTACACTGTCACAAGTACAGAGCAAATAAATTAATTATCTGCATTTAACGCATCGCATAGGAGAGCAGTTTGGGGTCAAGGGTCTTGCTCAGGGACCCAGAGTGGCAGTCTGTAGGAGTAGGGGTGGGGCCTGAGGTCAGAACCTCAGGATTTTAAACTAGGTTGCCCCCTAATGGGACTTGAAAGACTTGAAACCGTGACAAGGACTCCTTCCTCACTAACATGACTCTTAGCATAAAGCCCGACTTGCAAAGGAATGGTTTAAACCAAAATACACTCGTGTCTAAGAATGGCCTCCCTGAACTTAATTGAATTCAGAAACTATGCCAGCACTTAAAAGCAATAAAAAGGCAAATATTTGCGTTTATAGATGAACAAAGCTAGAGATATACCCCCAGATGTATTTGCAGTGATCGCGAAAAATCCCATTAAAATCAAACAAAGTTTAAGGTTGACTGAAAAAGAATGCAACCAATTTTTGCATTTATTTAATCATATTTAGTTAGTTCAACACAATTGCTTTATGTCCTACCCTCCTAACATTAAACAATTGTGTTAAAGTAACTAAATATGATTTAGTAGATGCATTGCATTTTTTTTTTCACCGTAACATGACAAAAATGTAAAACTGTGTAAGTGGCATTGATGCTTTCACATATTGCTGTAATTGTTAAGTTAGGAAACAACCAAGCAGTTGAAAACACTCTTGTTTCAAAGCAGATTTCACACCAAACGCATGCCAACAGCAGGGTCTGTGGATTCCAGCTCCATATTCATGAGGTTCTGAAGCACTCAAACAGCTCGTTGACATTATCAGTGCAATCCACACAAGTGTATCAGCTATAGACTGCTTGCGGCTCAGATAGTTTTGATTTGTCTTGTTTGATCTGTGTTTGTGTGTTTATTTCAGAGGTGGCAACCTGCTAAACTAAGCCCCCTTGTGTCTTTTATCATGTAGATGTCCCCCTTCAAGTATACAGCAGAGGCTGAGCATCGTCTGGGGCTAAAAGAGGAGCAGGGGTCTTTCAGCGGTTAAAAGGTGTGCCATTAACACAGCAATGAAGCCCAACTTAGAGCCAGAGGTGGATTTCCTTTGAAGCAAAGGGCTACAAAACAGTCAAGCAGGAAAAGGCTGATAGGAAACCAAAGTGATCTAAGAAGTCTTGTCACTTTTGTGACAAACTGAAAAAAACATCACCCGTTCCAGTGTTATTTGGAAAACAGAACATAGTGGTTCTCTTCTGAAATAAAATTTTGTTTCAAGAGATTAAAAAAAATATATTTTCTGCCATTTTCCACTTTTCTCAGTGAATCTCACACAGATGATTCCGACATTTATGTCTAACCTTAACCTACTGGCTGCTTAAATCCAGACTAATAACGAAAACATGGGATTAAGTCATTAAAACAAAGAAAATAAAATGTATTTAATATGTGTTTCCTCTTGCAAATCTTTATAGTGTCATACAAAAGCTTACATTGGTAATTCTGTGTGTTTTTATTTGCAGAATATTTGGTTTAGACTTCCAGGGATTTACTTAAAATTAAATATATTAATGTAACAAAAAAAACTAAGCTGAAATCTGTAATAGCTCCTGATGCTGCAGTCTGAATGTGATAGATGGGATGAGGATGCAGGCTCCCTCACACACCGGGTCCGTGATGCTGAGGAACCCCTGCCCCTCCCCTGGTGATCAGATAAAAGGCTACTATCAGCGCGTCATGGCCACAAGGAGAGAGATCTGCGGCGAAGTGCGCCTCTCCTCCGCCCACCTCCAGGGCTCTCTGGCTTCATACTGAATCTCACATCACCTCTCTTCGCACAACATGATGGCACTGTCTGGCTTGGGTTCAACTTGGCAGATCGTTTGACATATTTACTTTTGTTTTGTTTTTTAAGGTTATATTTTATTTTACAGCTACTGAAGCTGATTTTTCAACAGATCTAGGAAACAACTGCTTGGTAAGTTTTTATATTGATTTCAAGAAATGTTCTAAATCCAACGTTCAATTAATTGATTGGTTACTTTAGTCAGTTAGTTCATTGTTTTCTTCAAACACTTAAATCTAACTTGTAAATTATTTATCCCCCCCAAAAAAATCCCTAAATTTTTTTTATTATTATTTTTAAATGTCTTATATTGTTTTTTTTATTATTATTTTTGCTGACAACATGCGCCTGAATTTAATTCTCTTCATTTGTTTTATCTGATCTGTCGGATGCAGGAAGCATCACAGGTTACTTCAAACGGAAAAATAATTGTCTATTTTCCTGTTTCTGGTCGTCGGTCCCGTTGGGACGCGGGAGCGCATCAGAAATGAATGAATGTAAATTCATTAATGAAACGAGTTTCTATTTCCTTTGGCACCTTCTTCTTCTTTTTGAGTATTTGAGGAAATGTAACGAGTAAATTTCTCCACTGTGAGATCAATAAGTTAATAAATAAATCATATAATTTCAAAAGCACGATTAAGTTTCTTATTGTAATCCAAACATATATATTTAAGAATTATTAGTATATTTTCAACCGAAGGATTAAATCCAAACATTTATACAATGTTATATATATTTATATACTTTTTTTTTTTTTTTTTTTTTTTTTTGGATAACCATTTTCTGAATTCAAAATTGCATTTTCCCCTCTGAAAATGGGTGTCACAAATTTGGGTGCGGGCGCGTTTTCAGTGATGGTTGCATCTAAAATCTGTGCATCCTATTTAAGGTTTGTCATATGATTTACAAGAAATTGTCAGGGATGTCTTCAATCAAACGAATAAATATATATAAGTGCTAGAGGATAAACAAAAATGCGTTCTTATCTGATGCATTTGATTAGACAGTTGAGATTCCTTTTTGTCAATTCTTGAAACTAATCATCTAAATTTCGATTGTTCGATACTTTATATTGTTATTCAACAATATAAAATGCAGTTTGACACGTTAAAATTTTATTTTAGTTGGCTTTTGAAGATAAAGAAAAAAATAAAGGGAATAAGTATATTTTTTCAGTAACCAGGTTTAATGTATGTTTTTGTTTTACATCATCACAAATTATAATTTTACTCTACGATTATCTGAAGCCCTTTGGGCCTTTGATCTCACTTTTTTTTTTTGGCTTAACTGCCTTTGACCTGCAGGTCTCTTCGCCTCCATCCATAGCGCACACTCCAGGGAACACTTGAAGAAGTTTGAGCACCGGATCGGTGGCTTAAACACATCCCCGAAGGGTGCAAGACAGAAGTCAAACAGGTTTCATTCCTCTAGGAGGAGACAGAAGCAGTTATGCTGGGCAGTGAGGGGGAAAGCAGCGCGTACTCATCCTCCAAAGACGCAGCGGATGAGAAGCGCGCCTCTCCAGCTGTGGATGGAGACGAACCGGCGGGCAGCAGGTATCCGGAGCACGGCGCATCCTCCGATCGCTTCTATATCCCATCTACGATTTCCAAGCAGAGCCCAGAAGCGGCGAACCCTTGCTCGTTTCTCCCATACACCCCCAGCGGGGCCGTGTACCCCCCGTCTGGCGCTGCCAGGTATCCCTCATCGCTCCACCTGGGCTCCGTGTTGCCTCCCGCCGGGTATTCCCCCTCAGCCGCCGGGCGAAACCACTTCAGCACCTCCTACCAACACGGTCAGAACCTGGGCTGCCTTTATAATCCTTACACCGCCTCCGGTTCTGCTCTGAGTAACGTGGCCCTGCCGGGGCCCGCGAGGGCCCAGGTTTACCTGTGCAACCGGCCGCTCTGGCTCAAGTTCCACCGTCACCAGACCGAGATGATCATCACCAAGCAGGGCAGGTCAGACGGCTGGAACTCAGATAGAACTAAGATGATATGATTATTAGAACGATGTGGCTCATGAATGATTGTTTCCAGGCGGATGTTCCCCTTTCTCAGTTTTAACATCGCCGGGCTGAACGTGTCAGCGCATTATAACGTGTTTGTGGAGGTGGTGCTCGCAGACCCAAACCACTGGAGGTTCCAGGGAGGCAAATGGGTCACCTGTGGAAAGGCGGACAACAACAACCAAGGTAAATATGTCCAAAAAAAAAAAAAGAAGCTTTTTGGAAAATCCAATTTTGGAATTTCCTCCTCGATTAGAGAACACAAGTAAAATATTTTTAAGACTTTTTTTTATTTTTATAATAAGTTTATTTTTCTTCCTATGATTTTATGTTTTTTTTTTCTTTTTTTTTATCTTAGGAAACAAAGTCTACATCCACCCTGAGTCACCTAACACCGGGGCCCACTGGATGAGGCAAGAGATCTCCTTCAGTAAACTCAAACTCACCAACAACAAGGGGACCAGCCACAACACATCACAGGTTAACAAGGCCATTTAAATTGTGATATAGTCGAAGTCTTGCCTTTATATATATATATATATATATATATATATATATATATATATATATATATATATATATATATATATATATATATATATATATATATATATATATATATATATATATATATATATATATATACTTCCCCTTATATTGCTGTCAGCAAACTCGTTTACTTGCATGTGCGGTATTTTTTCACAAATATGTAGATTTGTTGTAATGTCATTTAAAAAAGATACTTTTTTATGTTTTTTTTTTTATTTTTTTATTTTACAGTTTCACATTTGTTATGATTATTCTTCTGCTTACAGATGGTGGTCCTGCAATCGCTTCATAAGTACCAGCCCAGGCTGCATATTGTGGAAGTGGCAGAGGATGGAGTGGAGGACATCAGCAGTGATGTTAAGACGCAGTGTTTCACTTTTCCGGAGACTCAGTTCATAGCAGTCACTGCCTACCAGAACACCGATGTAAGTGGGAAAACAAACATAACATTTAACATAATTATCTCTTACTTTTTTTTATTTTCTATTTAACAGTCTATGACTGTCAATCAATGGAGCTGACTGAAAATGTTCATTATTATTCTCAGGGCCAGTTGAAGGCGATATGAGGCCAAGTCAGGTTTACAACTAATATTTTAAAGAGAAGGCTTTTCTTTTGAATCTTTATCAACCAAATACTTTGGTTGATGATTTCTCCAACATTTTAAACAGAGGAGTGGTTTAATTATATAGCTTTTCTCCTACAGAACAATGAATGGAGAACAATATTGTGTGTCTACAAAATCATTTGTATTATTCCTCTTAAATAACTAAATACAGATAAAGATGCAATAAAAACATTTTAACGCTCTACTCCTGCCTGTGAGATTTAGAAACCAAAACCAGATTTCTGTGAGGATTAAAATCAATTCTTTAACATGTGAACTAAAGACATCTCTGGATGAAATGTTGCTGAGGGTCATCTGGAAGCAATGCATAAAACTTATATTTATATATGTTTGTTCTCCATAAAGACAACCAAAGACATATGTTTTTTGTGTGCATTCTGATGTCTAATTCTTTTGTTTTGCTTTTCTTTAGATCACACAGTTAAAAATTGATCACAACCCTTTTGCCAAAGGTTTCAGAGATAACTATGATTCGTAAGTACTTTTTTTACGCTGCCTGTCATTCCTCTCAGAAACCAAACCAAAATGTTTCCATGCCACATAACTGCATCTGACAACTCATTTTGCAAGCACACCCCCCCCACACACACACACATACACCCACCCTACAAACACAAGCACAAACCTTAGATTTACTTTGTTTTATTATTTTTCCAGAATGTACACAGCCACCGAGAACGACCGTCTCACCCCATCTCCAACCGACTCACCCCATGCCCACCAGATTGTGCCTGGCACTCGTTACACCATGCAGCCCCTCTTCCAGGACCAGTTTGTCAACAACCTCCCCCAGAACCGCTTCTACAACTGTGAGAGAGCCGTACCGCAAACTAGCAGTCTCCTTTCACCTCAGACAGAAGACGCAGCATCACAGAGGTGGTTTGTCACCTCTATGCAGCAGGGGGGGAACAACAGCACCACCGGCAGCAAACTTGACTTGACACCCTATGAGGGGGAGTACTCAAGCTCTCTCCTTCCTTATGGCATCAAATCCCTGTCCATGCAGACAACCCATGCTCTCAGCTACTACCCAGACTCTCCTTTCACCACAATGACAGCAGGGTGGGGGTCCAGAGCAGCTTACCAAAGAAAAGTCCCTCCTAGTCTGCCATGGTCACCCCGACCCAGCCCCACAGCTGGTTTCCCTGAAGAGTCTGTGAAGATTAAACCGCAGATACAAGACGAGGTGAGTAGTGAAGCTCTGATCAGCTCCTGGACAGAGACTCATATGTCAACCCTCTCCCCAAACAAGGCTGACTCATTTTCCATCGCCTGCAAGCGAAGGCGTTTGTCTCTTAACGGTCCAAGCACACAAGACTCACCTGCAAACAGCAAGTGTGAAGAGCTGGCCGCTGCCACTATCAGTGGCCCCTATAGTAAAGAGCCCCCACCTACAAAAAGCATGGCTTACTATCCTTTTTACACAAACCCCTGATTTCTGATTTAAGTTTTTGTCAAACTTTAAAAAGAACATCCTCACTTTGTTAGGGATCATCCACCGCGGGGATTAACAAATCACTTTCTGCCTTTTTTTTTTTTAAATCAAATTTGCTTTGTTTGTGATGAACTTACAAATTCCTATTTATGTGAAATTATCAAGCATATGTGCAACAAATGACCAGACTACACAAATAAGCTTTACCCTCCGGGAATATGGACTCATTTAAGTGTTTATTCATTTCAATTATTTATATCCTAAATGTTTTCAAAGGCCCGAACAAGATTAGTGTATTTGGAATTTGTTCTAACGCATGTGATTTCTTTTTTTTTTTTTTTTTTTTATACATATATAAAAAAGAAGTGCTATTTTGTGTCAGACATCATTGCATCTAGCTTTGTGGTCAGATTGTGAGCTTTCAGATTATTTATTGAAGGTCTGTTTGTATGAAATGTGTGCACTGGTGAGATGTGAGAATAATATGCTATATATTGCTTCAAATTGCAGATATTTGATAATAAAAGGAGTATGTGTCTTTATTGTGTATTAAACTTGTTTAAATTGCTTTTTTTGTTCTTGTTGAAATGCAGGATTATTTCCATGGCCTATTGTTAAAGCAGACTTATGAGGGCTACAAGGCATCGTGATTTGTCAAGCAGCACTTCATCAAACGAAAGGCTTTTTTGTAGACTTTGTCTCACTCTAGTGGCGTAATGTTGTCATTACACGAGGTGCTGCATTTATTCTGGTACATAATTTCTTTCTAAATTTCCCATCTCTGCTAGGGTTGGTTACCTTTTAATTTTATAATATTATGCTTATCGTCTTATTCTTAATGTTATCTCTTTTAATTCTTTTATACTCTTCGTTGCAACATATTCCTCATTGGATTTTAAAAAGTCATCTTTTTTTTAAATTATTTTTTTAGTTTGTAGCATCATCGCTTTATGACTTTTTTTTTTAATATGTAGGCTATGTATAATATTTAGGACGGCTAATAACAGTTTTAAATAATCCTTCTGTTTCATTGTTATCTCAGTTGTTTTTTTTTTTTGTTTTGGAAGCACAAACTGCAGCCTTCTCCCCAATACATCACCCTTTCAAATGTATTTCTTTATTGATCTGCAGCACGTTCAAGAGGAGTCACGATTGTACAGCCAAAAACAGAACATTGAACACCATCAATAGTATTTATAAATGCGGTTAAATCAGAACTTTTTTTTATATATCCTATCTTAATTAATGTATAGCAGAGGAGAACATGATATGTGATAGGCTTAGGGTATAAACAGGGCCAACTTGATTTTTTTTCTACCTCAGTGATAAGGTTCAATAAGTGAAGACCATATATCTCATAGAAAATAACAGCACTCTGCTTCAGGTGATTTTTGTCAATTTTGATTACAATAGCTCACAGCTAATATAAAAAGTGTCTGAGGAAACTCAAACGTCACATAGGATCATTTAACAAGGATGTTTAATACAGAAATTTTATGGCCTTGCTTGCTTGACAGATGTCCAGTAGACAGTCATTGATAAGTCAAAACATAAACTGTCATTTTCACAGAGGGCGGCTATTCACACAGTCCTGTATCCATGCAGTTGTTTGGAAAGTTAAGTGGAGGGAAAAGTGTGTGGAATACAGCAGGTGATTAAGAAGCTCTTGAGAGGAATGCAATGGCAAGCATATTCCGCAGATTAAATTACAATTCACGAGGCGTGGAATGCAGCTGGAGTCAGAGCATGCATCAGGACATGGGCTAAAATTACTGCATTGCATGTCTTTAACATCTCCTGCACCTGGTTTAGATGCAAGACTGAAATCTTGCTCAGTTTTTCACGGGCCTGTTTTCAGATTAAAATAAATGTCACTTTTCATTAAATACCAAGGTCGCAGAGTATTTAGAAAGAGTGATAAGGTACATAATCTGAGTTTCTAGAGTTTCTGTGAAGTTTTCACAGTCAGTGCTGATGTGTGAAGCCATGTCATCAGCTGTATCCATCACACAGCATGCTCTGTATTCTAGCACATCTAGCACAGTTAGTGCTTATCTGGGAACATCTGAGCACTCTATAGTTCCTTCTGCTGACAAACCTTATATTGATGCTAATTCTACCTCCTACAATAAACTTACACATAACTGCACTGCAGAAAATGACAGTGTTTAATCACCATGGTATCCCTGTGCTTAAATTGGAAGCAAACTTGCTACATTAGATCACTGATTCCCTACGTTTAGCTCAAGACCCCACTTGGATTTCTTGATCAACTTGTAGTCAGAGGTGTAAAGGAGTAAATGTATGGACTGAACTTCTTTACTTAAGTAAAAAAGTACAAGTTCTACATGGTACAGAATAACAAAAGTAAAATGCAATTTTTAACCATAAAAGATACATAATAATGTTCCAGCTCCAATCTTTAAAACTCCTTTATTCACAGCATTAAAGCTCTAAATAGCATTACAATTAAAATAGAACCTAAATGGGAAATGTCCTGCATCTCAGAATCTGATTCATTGTCTCCATTTTTATTCAGGCCCCATCTTCAGCCATGTCGCTATCCATGTTTTCCTATCAACAAAGTGTGTTCCAAATAGAGACTGTCTTTGTGCTCTTGACTTTCCTTCTGTTTTGTTATAGCTGTTACGTCACGTCGTTATCATGTTATAGTGAGTAACAAGCTAGTTTTAAAAAGTAAGGAGTAAAAAGAAGAGATATTGTGTTCAAAAGCAGAGAGTAAAAGTAAAAAGACCTCAGAAAAATAAACACACAAGTAACGTAAAACTACTAAAATAAGCTACTTAAGAACAGTAACAAAGTATATATACTTCTGCTTAAAATCCAACAGAAATTTAACCAATCATTAAATATATGTTCCAGTGCCTAAGGATTAAAACATAATTTAGTAATGGACAAACCCATGGTTCGTTGATTAGTTTGAAATGTTTTATAATCAGCCAAAAGTTTGGATCACGATAAATCAATTCTTTTACCGTTTAGTTGGTCAGACGCTGAGGATTTTGGGAACCTCTACCTTAGATAATCTATAATCTATAAAGATGAACATAAAGAAGAACATGATAGAAACTCCACACAACAACACAGATGAACTGTACCTAACTTGAAATACTTTATTTTTACGCCATGCCAAAGGGATGCTAAGATTTATATGCAGTTGCTCCTGAACATATAGGTTTATGACTCTAACTAACCTGTGTGATATAGATATATATTAAAAAAAAATAAATGTAACTATAGGTGTATTTCAATTTAAAGGTTCTTCCATGATCAACTGTTTTTGACCCATTTTCCCCTACCAGTGGCAACAGCAGGATAGTATAGGACATCACGTATTTCAAAGTAGCATGATCTGTTTTATAGTACAGATTCAATACCAGATAAAATAAATAAATAAGTTATCTGGCACTGCAAGGCTCATAACTTTTATTATTATTATTAATGGTTTTAAATGGGTATTAAACTCTTGTCCAATCTGTGGATTTTTATGTTAAATAAAAGTCCGTCATATTTAAAATGTTATCTTATTTTGTTTATATATAAGCGTTTCATCTTTCCCTCTGTGCCTCACAACCAGACTGTCGGCTACAATGAACGCGAACTCAGTCCTGGCAACCCAACTGTCAGCTATGGTGAACGGGGACTCAGACCTGGCAACCTCGACTGTCAGCTATGGTGAACGGGGGACTCAGACCTGGCAACCCAATTCAGCTATAGTGAACGGGGACTCGGACCTGGCAACCAGAATGTCAGCTATAGATAACGGCGACTCGGACCTGGCAACCCGACTGTCGGCTACAATGAACGGGGACTCAGACCTGGCAACCCGACTGTTAGCTACAATGAACGGGGACTCGGACCTGGCAACCTGACTTAGCTATAGAACGGGGACTTAGACCTGGCAACCCGACTGTCGGCTACAATTAACGGGGACTTGGACCTGGCAACCCGACTCAGCTATACAACAGCGACTCAGACCTGGCAACCCGACTGTCAACTATAGTAAACTGGGACTAAGACCTGGCAACCCGACTGTCATCTATGGTGAACGGGGACTCAGACCTGGCAACCCGACTGTCAGCTATAGTGAACGGGGACTCAGCGTGAGCTACATCTCTCATCTAAGCAGCGTCTCTCCATAAAGACTGCCTTACATGTAAAAGCTTATTTTGGACGGTTGTAACTGGCAACCACCTCACAAAGCCAAGTTTCCAGCAACAATAGGTACATTCTGTGTAAGTCACAGTACTTGTCACACTCTGTTTACTGAGTTTATCAACTGTTCTAATAAGCGTGAAGTTGGCTAGCAGCGGTGCTAGCCTCGTAGCTTCCCAGCTAGCGCGCGCGCTGACGTTAGTCCACGCAGAGGCTAGCGTCACGGTGTTTTTTGTTTATGAATGCCACATTGCTAACGAGACTGGTTTTGTTTTCCCATAACTAGCTGCGATGACAGTAAGCGGAGCGGTTTGCAGCCTGAATAAAATGAGGTCAGTAAGCGTTCAATGTCTATATTGGGTAGGAATGAAAACACAACAGAGCGAATATGGAAGGGTCTGCTTCATGACAACATCACGCGCTGTCAGTTTGAGCTAGCGAAAATGGTAAACAGCATGAGGGGGCACAAAGGCCCGCATCAAGAGTTCTGGGAGAAGTTGAAGCTAAGCGGACAAACTGGCGTTTCTTTCCTGTTATTCAGACGAACTGTTTAGATAGTTGTTGTTGTGTGGGAGTGTCGTTAACTATTGCCAAGCGGGTTAATTAGTAATACACATGGCATCTAACCACCTCTAACGGGTTTTTGTTGTGTGGGAAATGATGTCTAGCTCTCATCAAGGTTTATGTTGTTGTCTTTTTTTCCTCTTCTTGTGATCGTTTGTGATCTGTCTTCACATGCTCCAGAGGCAGCAGCTCTGTTTATACAGTTCCTCAGTTGTAAACATTATACCTTCCGGTCACTGAACAAAAAACTATAAATAGAAAGTTTGTTCCAATAATAAAGGCTTTGCTAAGAATCTAGAATGCTAACACACTTTTTTGAATCGAAAACTGATAGTGAAACATCTTTTTGCAAGATCATAGCAATAGAAACAGTGCACAACTTAACATTTTAGGGGAGGGGGAAGCTTTGATGGGCTTTTATGTGTTTATTAGTCAGTTATTAATATGTTGTTACTATAAAAGAGCCTTAAGCTATGCTGTCATGAGTGATCATTTCTTAAATTTGCTTTAGACAAGGAGTGACACCATTTGACTGCTGGTGAGGAGATGTGTGAGCTAGGTAGGAAAGCTTTTGCAAATAACCTCAGTTTATCCACTAGGTTATGCCATGAACATGTGAGGGCTGATTAAAAACATACTAGGGTTGTCTTGATCACAAAAAAAAAAAAAAATGCAATGCGTCAATATATCAACATATTATGATCAATTTAATTGAATAATTGTCGACTCTTATCAATGCATTAAAATCCAACCCCTTTGATGAGCTGATTTATTAGAGCTGGAAAAATGTGTCTTCATTTTAATATGAAAACTCTGCCTTCCCCACTGACTTTTAATGAATGCACCAGGTCTTTAACCGGTCTCTTTCACCTTGTTTTAGTGTAGTTAATATTAACTACTAACTGTAAAAAACTTGCTATGAATGTATGAAGGCAGCACATCCTTATTTGAAATGTGAGATGTCTAAAACACAGACTAAAACACACATAGCATGTCCCATGAACAACAGTGGATGTGGATTTTTCATACCTAAAACAGAATAACTTAACAGTTATATCTCTTATCGGATGGAAAGAATGAAGGACGTGCTTTATTTAAAAAATTAGTGTTGCACTGATGCCATTCTTTGGCCCCGATACTGATGCCTGATACCTGATACCATACCGATCTATTGCATCTGTTTGAAATTTGTATGTGTGTGTGTATAATCATGGCTTTGTCAAGCTGCTGCCTACATTTGTGAAGCAGGAGAAAGACTAATACAAAGTGAATCCAGTAGAACTTTTTATTGTCTACCTGGATACTTTTGGCTCTCAAATTGTTATTGGTGCCATATTTGTTGGTACTCGCCGATACCACCATTTTCGATACCACCATTTTAGTAATGGATCGGGGCCCAGTCCGATTCTGGTATCAGTGCAGCACTATCAACAATACAGATTCAAAATGGCAAATTAAGTCCAGTTTCAGTCCAGTTTATTCAGCAATAACACAGTTGTTTAACTGTGAGAGTTTGTTAAAGAGACTAGAAAAATAAGTGAAAAAAGAAAAAAAACCTCCCTGTCAAGTATGAGCATGAGCTACGATAACCTACAGATTAGTGCTGCAGTTCTGTGTTTTGGCCACAGGTGCCGTTATCATTAGAAAACGCCATCATGCTCTACAACCAGATGCTAACCCTATAGTCTGATGGTTTTCTGATTAGTTTCCAATAGATTGATCTTTGATCAGAATCGGAGTCACTACCAGATCCGTACCGGAAGCACAATCCCTACATCAGTTCATTTGCTCATGTGCAAGCAGATATTCATCCAGGTTGCTGTAAATATTGTAAATATGGCACTAAAAGTATTTACTTCTATCCTTAAATCACCAAAGAATGCTCAGCTACATGTAAAAACATTTCATGTCTTTTCTGAGACAGTGGTAATCCTTTTACATTCTCTCCGTTACACTGCTAGTCGGATGTCATAGTCGGACATGCTCAGAGCTGTGCGGCGAAACATGATCTGCTTTTTTGTTGTTTCTTTTTGTAGATTATGCATGTACTATAACATTAAAATCAGAGGCTAAAGTAAAACTTGAAAAGATTAGATTTATGTTTAAATACAAAGCTGAAAAATCTAGTTCCTGGACGTAGCGTAGGATACCATTTCCGGGATGGATTGGGCACAGTCGAGTGATAAAACAGCAGTGATTTAAATGCATGTAATTTCTCAGAAAATCAATTAATAACCGCTTCTTACGCTTCTTATTTTTGGGGAGAGAAAATATGGTTATGGTCTCCTTGATGAAGTAAAATCGAGGGCGAACAGGATGTTTATCTGGTTGCTGACGGGTCGTACTACCTGTACGGATCAGGTAGTGACACCCAGACTCTCCATCAATCTCTGCTTATTTCTACTAGATCTGTTCTTCTTGGGCCTTAAAACCAAAATCTGTAAATCTTCTGCTAGGAAGATAATTGGTATCAAAGAGTTACATAAAAAATATGTATTTATCTGAGGGGTAATCATAATGATTCACAGGCCGGAGTGTTTTTACTCCTGTAAATAACAGTGTACTACATTTCTCTGTCTCCCCCTGAAGAGCTGTAAACAGATAACAGAAGGACACACGGCATGACTTGTATGAGCTAATCAGGAGTCACATGACAAACAGCTGATTGTTATTTTTATTGTTGGTGGTGATTTCTTGTGAAATCCTACCTAAATTCTTTTTCCTCACATGCTACCCAAAAACAGAAATAACCTGAACAGAGCTCATATAAACATTTCTGGAATCCAGAGTTTCCACACCAGCTCTTAATTTGCTCTATCAGGACAAATTTCCGTGCTCATCCTGCCTCATGACCAAAACCTTCAAAGCACTGAGGAATGAGAGTGTCTGGCGCTTTTCTGGGTCACATGTCTAATTCCAATCCCACCTTTTTTCAACCGATGAGACCTTTTGATATAACTGCTTTCTACATGCCACATCATTTAAATTGTACGAACTTCTCCTGACTTTATTACAAACTACAATGTATTTTAAAATGATTGTATGTGATTGCCAAACAAAAAGACAGCTTATTGGTGTTATACCTGGTGAAAAGATACAATCGATAATATGAATAATATTCATCCTTCCTCAGTGAATATTTGATGCATGTCAACCAGCGTTGCTCAGTTAGAACCCAATGTTTTCGTCCGTTACTCTTTGCAACAAAGATCAGGCTCAAATTGATAGTGTTGTTAATAATCAATGCTGGACTTGTACTACATCGAGCAATTACATTGTGAAGAGGATACTGCTAATACGTTAAGATACCTCAATAAAACAAGCATTTGAACAGAAAAAGCCAAACTTTCATTGCACATTTTGAATGCATTCATAAATTACAGTTTTATTGTACCAAATGCAAAATGTATCCTTCTTTTGTACATTTCACTTAATTACTGCTCGGAGTTAATTGGTTTTTTATTTTATTATTTTATGAAATGGTGGGTTTTAAAAGCTATACCCACGCTAAAGATGATTTAATTACAAAATTAGTTGCTGTTAATTTTTTATTTACCCATTTTTCATTGTTAATAGGATTAATAAGTTATTGAGATTGTTTAAGCTCTGCTCTGGACTTCATTCTGTTGAGTCATTCTGTTTTACTGGACTGTTGGTTTAGCTCTACAGAGACGTCTCCGTTAGCTTACAGGGTATTTTTCATTTTAAGATAATTCATTGGTCAGGGAGCCTTAAGTTATTGAAAGCTTGGGATGCAGATTAACAATACTACCTGCTTTAAACCTTTCTACAACCTTTCTTTGTCTTCTTCTTCTTGTATTTTATGGCGGTTGGCAAACAACTTTTGGTGTATTACCGTAACCAACTGCTTGATTTCCTCCTTCAATAATGGCAGTAATACCGTAGATCGTCACTAGGAGGCGAGGCGTCGAGGAACTGAGAGCGTGATGTGTAAACGGTCGTCAGAACCAAGCTCGGCCTGGTTAACTGATCTGAGCACGGACCGGTCTCGGCATGGATCGGTTTTTCAAGGGTAGTGTAAATGGGGTAAATGGATGGATGGATAATTTCATAAGAACACTTATTCTACAGTTTGTTTATTAAAAGTGATAAAAAAGGAGGCTAAAAGCACAAAATTGGTGCAAATATTTGAAAACCATCCTCCTCACAATGATGCTCTACTTTATTTTTGCCTATCAGATAAAACCCCCTGTCAAATACATCAATATTTGGGGTCGTAATATAACATCATTGGTAATATTTCATAAATGAGTTTAGGTATATCAGGAATAATGTACCCATGATGCAGTGCTTTGTGTATTTGTGCAGATGCAGTAGGTACCATGTACAGATCAGCCTCTCTGTGTCCAAACGGTGATGAACATATGGTGCTCTGGTGGAAATAGAAAGCTGACTTGCAGCATGTTAGTCCCCATGTGGAGGTATGGGGCTTTATTATGGGTTCTGGCCTCTGTGGGGACAGCAGAATTGGCACCAGGAAGCGGAAGTTCCTGGTGATGCCAAAGGAAGTCTTGTCCTTCACTCTGTGTGAGCTTTGAGCTCATTCTGTTCAGTTATACAAAAAAAAAAAGGGGGGGGCAGAATTACAGCGATGCTGACACCTGTGTTTGTCACAGAGAAGCCCGAGCAACACTGAGGATGTACGTCTGTGGGTGTTTATAAGTAACAGTTTAACTCAGGAGCACATATTATGGATTTAACTGGTTTCCCTTTTTTTCTCTTTAGGACATGCTGAACATGCAGCATCCTGGCTCATTCAGCTCCAACAGCTTGAAGAAGACTTAAAAGGCGGCTGCGCTTTGGTTAGAGTTTGGACCGACTGTTTGTGGAGAAATGGGGAACACTGCCACCAAGTTTCGTAAGGCTCTCATCAACGGGGATGAGCTCCTAGCCTGCCAGCTGTACGAGAGCAACCCGCAGTTCAAGGAAGCTCTGGATCCCAACGCTACTTATGGAGAGTCCTACCAGCATAACACTCCAATGCACTATGCTGCCCGACATGCTATGATGCGCCTACTCAGGTCAGAATTAAAATAACAGCAACTTATAATACTTTAAAAAACATGGAGACTTGATTTTGATTGTTCAGTTATGTCTTCCCCACTCTGTAAAATCTCTGCTGGTTGATTGATGTGAAGATGATAACCTTTCCTTTCTTTGAGTAGATTTCTGGTATATCTGTATTGTACTCATCCTTATGTGTTGGAAAAATGAATGTAATATGATAGAAAATTGTTAGTGTTTTTTGTCTTTATGCCCCTTTCCCCTCTCTCCTGCTGTATAGCCATCTGTTGTCAGGAATGCAACACGCTGTGTTGGAATAGGTTACAGATTCCAAGAGCTTCGCATCTTAAAAGCTGAAAGCCTTGTTGTTGTTTGTTTTCCTTCCACTAAGGCCGTTATTTGTTCTCTCACTACATTGCTCTCCCCTATATGACATTCTTACGTGACTGAAATGACTGCAGGGTTGTAAGTTGTGAACATGTCAAGCAAAAAATTTATGTTTAATTACTTATTTCTTTCCACATAAACTAGGAAAATTAATTAAGATTAAAAAGATATTTCTACATTTAGTCTCATAAACATTTCTATAAAATCTAATCTAAGTTTGACCTCCAACTTTAACCTCTGGATTCAGCTGTAAAAATTAAAATCTTCCTCTATTTTACCTTAAAACTTGTAGGTTGTTTCTTCTAAACAAAGATGGCAATCCTAACAAGCGTAACGTGCACAACGAGACGTCTCTGCACCTTCTCTGCATGGGGCCTCAGATCATGACCTCAGAGGGAGCGCTGCAGCCGCGGATCTCACGACCAAATGAAGATGAGCAGCGTCAAACCGAATGCCTGCAGATCATCTTGTCTTGGACAGGAGCCAAGCTGGACCGCGGAGAGTATGAAAGTGCTGATATCAATGCGGCTGACAACAAGAAAAACACCTGTCTGCACTATGCAGCTGCCTCAGGCATGAGGACCTCGGTTGAGGTGAGATTTTTAAAAACTCTGCTTATGTCTTTAACATATTCTCTATTAGGGCCCCTCTTAAAAAGCCCTCTGAGATTTGCTCCTTAAGTAAAAAGAGCATAAAATATGTCAAGGTGATTCGCAGTGAAAATTTCTCTTTTCTTCTACTATTAAAGGTACAGGGGAGGATTTTCTCAAATATTTGAAAAGAACCAGTCTCTCCACTTTAAAAAAAAAAGCACAACAATTTCGCTTCTGTGTGCTTGGAATAGCCTATATATGTATGAATCCCTGCCATATGCTGCATCACACAAGAAGATGAAGTCAAATAAATTGACTTGGGTCTCTTTGAGACCTGATCAGAGTATTTAAAATGATTAACTGATATTGCACATCATAATAGATGTAAACCCAACAGAAGATCCATAGTACTTTGCTTATCTGTGCACGCACATTTGTCCTCTCAATTCATGTCTGCACGGCACAATTGTTCCTCGTAAAGATCCGCTGCACTTTCTAATTAATCGGAATGATGCGTATACTTGTAAAATTTTATTGCAAGTGAATGTTGCATTGTGCTCAGTTTATTATCCCTAAAAATCCCACATAATGGCATATGTGTGTTTATGCCCCAACATTAAAATTCCCTACTCCTTACTGCGTTAGTATGTATTGTAGCCCGACAACAGCTGTGGCTGGCTTTTACTGATGGAATGGAAACAGAATCAGGATAAATTCTTCAAAAACGTAACTTAAAGGCAAGCAGAAATGTTTGATTTCTTTTTAGCTCATAGCACTATCGTTACAGAAGGGATTTTTGTAGCACAGACCAAAAGGTTGTTACAGCCCCTGAAAACCAATTATGCAATCAATACATATAACAAAAGATATTTTCAGAGAAGGATATGTATTTATGTATTTGTTAATGTATTGTTTAATCTCATATTACATGTGTATGTTATGTTTGTCATGTATCAGCTTTAGAGATATGTCTATATGTTATATATCTGTATATATATATATATAATATCTGTATATGTATATTTACTACCTCTGGCAGTCTGGAGTAGTAAAAGCCCGTCCTGAGCCAGAGTAACCAGTAATGGAAATGCTCACAAAACTGGGTGAGACAAATGGAGACAACGGAGACAAATGCAGCCTGGGACTTTTGACTGGATTTGTAAATCCTTAAGAATCAAGAATAACATTTAACTTTGAGAAAACATTAAATTAAATGATCACATCTTCAACCTGTACGTAGATATAAAACCTTTAAGCTAAATCTTATGAATTTTCTTTTCACAATAACAAAATGCCCAGGAAAAAATTCCATACTCAATACCAATTTCATCACCATGGGAATAAGAAATGCCAAAAAATTTGATTTCTTTAAAGATTTACAGACAGTGCAAGTAAATGCAAAATAAAAAAAAATATATATAACTTAATTTGACAATACTTTGAGGTTAATTGTGGGCTTACTCTTTCAATGTGAAAATAATCTAGAAATCTTGAAATTACCAAAAGAAAAAATGTCAACAGCACTTGTACTAGGTATTGATTGTTTCCGGATACAGCATTGAAGTATCAATACTTTTTAAAAACCTGCTTTCACTTCAGTGCAATTACACATATATGGTCTCCGATGCTGTAGGCACTGGCCTGAGTAGAGTGAGAGTAGAATAAAAAATATCCCTGTGACCAAATGAAGTGAGAGTGACTCGCAATGGGGAACATGGATGGACCCTGCAGCTGGATCACTAATGGATACAGGGCAGCACTTTAATTCAGACGCTAGCCTGGATGGCAGTATTCATTAAAAGCTTATTAAACCTTTTTAGGTTTAAAAAGGATTGAAAATCAACTTTCATATCTGCTGTCAGCACATTGAAGATGCTGCCTTGAAGTAGTGGTACCGGGAAAAATGTAAGCACCTCGCACGGTTACAGCGTTTATGCAGCACAGTGCTATACCACTTGTCCTACCTCTTGGATAGGCATCTAATAATGACATTTGTTTTGCATATTAAGTGGTCTTTACTTCTTTTTCTTTACCAGTGGGAAAATAGCACACAATCTGTGCTGATTTAGTAATATGCTAGATACAAATGTAATAAAAGGAATCTCTCTTTAAGATGGCACCATTTGAACAGAGCTGAATTTGAATCAGTCAGACAGACGTTATGCTAAGCTTTTCACTTTTTGACTCGCTGCCCATTGTAGTTCTCATTGAAAGATGCCACGCTCTGATTGATCTGACCGAATCATCGCAAGGTCAACTAGTGCTGTTGGACAGTCAACCTCTTTAGAGCCAGGGCACACCAAAAAAAAAAATGTAGCACACCAACAATCAAAAAGGAATAAAATGACACTCTTCAGCATATTAATACATAATGACAAAAATCTGGGGCTGTTTAGATGAACACAAATATGATGTAGTGGCAAGAATGAAAGAAAGATATTCATAGGTCTTGCTCAACAGCTCTCAGTCTCTGTTTTTATTTTTATGGTAGTCAGGCTTGAAAATCTCAGCTCAGATTATCTTTTTCACTATGCTAATGAAACCTTTGGTGTGCCCCAGCATGGCTGTGGCTCTATCAGTGTAGGTTTGATCAGTTTTGCAGTTTTCCCATAGTTCTCTCTGAGGCCAAAATATTTAAAATTGACTTCAAAATCTGCTGGTTTCTTTTGTTTATTTTTTTTCCCCCAGCGGTGCCTTGCAAAGTAGGAAGTTTTCTCTTCTGGCATCTCCATTAACAAATCACACATTGACTAAGAGCCCAGTATGTCCTCTAATATCTGTCCATTCATCAATTTGAAAAGGAGATTTGTTACTATTTCATATTTTAATAAGAACTATACCTTCAATGTGTGCAGGAATGCCATTCATCTGTCTGAGAGAGGGACTTTGTCTTTAACTGCATCAGCATCTCATATACTATGGCTTTGCAAACAGGTCATATTAATATTCAGCCATCGTGTGGGAGTTTTTGATTTAGCTAAGATTTCAGCAAGAAGCTAGCTAGCTAGCTCTGAGGGCTCTCTCTCATTCACATTTTCTCAAACACCAAACACAATGAAATAAGCGCTGCTGAATCCTAAGTGAAAGAAAATCAGGACCAAAAATATCTCTCGCTTACAGAAAAGCAATGAAATACCAGATACACAAAAACCATCCATTTTATCAGGATGTTGAGGTCATCATGCTGGAATCTAACTTGGCCAAATAATACCGACGCTTTAGTAAACTGCTGTAATTACATGCTAGGCTGTTTATTTTTTCCCTGTTAGCACCAAAGAAACATTGGTGCTTTGTTTTTAAACTTGCTTCAATATCAATGGGTCTGTTTGTGCTGCAAGTGCTGAACATTTCACCCTTTAATTGATTTTAAACTGTTAAGTTTTGGCCATTTGAAGTCTAAATTTGTAGTTTCCAGGGGCACATTTTGTTTGTGCTTCAGCAGTCAGTGACTTAAAGTAACTTAATAATATTTCTTGTTAAATGTTGGGTTCATTTAAGGTATTTCAACAATTAGCTTGTTTAAACTGGGTAATAGAAGGACAGTCTATCAAATTAGAGTGTAATATAAAGTCTTAAGCAAATTAAATAAAATGACATTTAAATAGAAATCACTATATACTTTTAACTAATTCCAGTCTTCATTATATCACTAAACTGCTTAACTAAACATATACGCTATAGTTTAGGTGGTTTGATTACAGATTTCACATGAAAAAGGAAAAGCTTTAAAAGTAATTGTGTGAGTATAACCAACATCACAATTTTTATCATTCAAAACCGTTTTTTTTTTTCTTGCTCAGTTACTGCTGCAGAGGGGAGCGGACCTGTTTGTGGAGAATGAAAACCGCGAGACTCCATGTGACTGTGCGGAGAAGCAGCACCACAAGGATTTGGCCCTCAGCCTGGAGTCACAGATGGTCTTCTCTCTGGCCCCTGAGGCAGAGGGTATAGAAGCAGAGTATGCAGCCCTCGATCGAAGAGAGGTACAGAATTAAAACCCTCCAACAGTTGGTGGAAATTAGTTGTGCCTATCATTGTTTAGAATGTTGTTGTTGTTTTTTTCCGCCTGGACTATTGTTAAGTGTAGTTCTGTCTGTCATGTTGAGAATCCATCAAAGCATTAAAGGTTTGTTTTCTATAGAGCAGCTTTTTGCTGTTAGTCTTTCCGATATGTCTTTTTGTAAATTAACATGAACTGGATACCTTCCACTCACTAATCCCACACAGCTGTTGTCATGCTATACTAAAAAAAGAAAAAAAGAAAAGACAACCTATTAATCCAGTGTTTCAAAGTAAATATTTGATTTTTTTGTTGTTGTTGTTGTCCAGTTCATCCAGACAAACCATCTCATACAAAAAAATGTCAGTCTGCTGTTATGCATGTGACCTGTATCTGCTCAATCGTTAATCATCCTATCTCGCATGGCTAAGTCATGTCCCAGCAATCATTTACAATCATTGCTCTCTTTTTCTCAGCCTTTTGGTGGTACATTTATTTGAATTTTAATCCACTTTTGTCAACCACTGCCAAACCTGTTATTTTGTTTTTCTTTTGTGTAGGCATTTTTTTTTATTTGCCTGTAGTCAAAGTTGTTGCTTTGACCTTAAAATCACCAGTAACCTCTGTCCCCTCCCCTCTTTTAAGTTGTTAATTCTTGTCTTGTCTCTGTCCTTTTCTCCTCCTCAGTTGTACGAAGGCCTGCGGCCTCAGGACCTGCGTAGGCTGAAGGACATGCTGATAGTGGAGACGGCGGACATGCTGCAAGCTCCTCTTTTTACTGCTGAAGCTTTGTTACGTGCCCATGGTACTATGAAACACAAACACTGACATACGTGTTTATGGAGCAATGACTCTGTTCAAGCACCTTGTATGTGTAAATAAATGGTAAATGGCCTGTAATTATGTAGCTCCTTTATAAGTTAGGGGAGGCCAAATTTTACACTACATTCATTCAGTCATTCATGCACACATTCACACACTGATGGTGGCAAGCTATATTCTAGCCAGTGTTGTCCTTGGGCACACTGAGCAAGGCTGCCTTACAAAGGTGTCAACCAGGCTTTTAGCTAGGAATTTTTCAGGCTTTGCGTGGCCATGCCGTATGGTGGCTAAAGCTTCGTATTGTTAAATGACAATTGTCCTTCCTGGTAGGGAACAGGAGGCATGGGGTGGCTAATTTGAGTTATAATCCCTGCTGGTCTTGGAATTGTTTGCTGTCAGTGTTGGAATTGAATTCTTTAAAACATAACAAGAAATAGTATCTAGTAAATATTGACAATAAGAAAGAAAAAAGTTCTAAATTTATACATAACTTTCAATTGATGTTGCTGGAGATTCCAAGTAATTCCATGTTGAATCCTGTGATTACTAATTCAATGTTGTTAATCTTTTCTCCGAACTCCTTATCAGTTATGTTGGAAAAAAAATTTGATCAATAAATCCGCAAACATCCTTATTAAAAGATTTACTTAGATTTTCCCGTTGTATGTTGACATTGATCGATTGCATCTAAAAATTGCAAACATATTTTCAATTCAAACTATAGATATGAAATAATACATTACAGCAAACGATAGCTTAAATCATATTATAGGTCAGTTTAGTCAAGAGGCTACCTGTAGGAGTTTTAAATGTCCAGCAGGTGTCAGTATTCAGTGACACAGTATCAAAACTATATCAATACAGTTTGCAAATGTGTTGAAACGTTTCATGTCGTCTCATGAACCCATCACTAACGGACAGTATTTTCATAAAGAACAGAAGAACCTCCAAAATAATCCTATATATCAGGCACTCGATGAGATTTCGTAAACTTTTCAAAGTTTCAAGGTGACCTGTTTGCAAACAGCGGAAGTGCTTGATCCAGTCAATGAAATAGTTTGTAGGGATATCAGTTATTCCATCAATAACCGCGTCCATACATGCTGTGTCATGCGAATATATGACCAATAGTAAGCGAGTCGCGATGCGCAAGACATGATTCGCAATTCAAATTTTGAACATTTGAGTGAAGTTTCCGGAGGAAAAACAGGCTGTACAATTTGTCATTTTTAAGTACAATGTACGGCTAAATGCATGACTAGCTAAAAGCCTGGTGCTAACAGGCCTCTAATCAGCATCTGTAGGCAATGGACACAAAGCCTGAAGTGACAGAGCTGAGTTTCAAACCTGCGACCCAAACTCTGCCTCCTAGACTTACATTGTATTGAACTTGGTTTACAAAATGTACCTTTATAAGCATTAAAATATATTTATTCATTAAAGATAATATATAATTAGTATTTTATTGGGAATAGGGATGGCCGGGTATGATATCCTGACTGTATAACCTAAAGCAAAAATGCAATGGTATAACGGTGCAATCATTATAGTGTTAGGTTGCATTATTTTGAAATGTCTAAATGAAAAATTGAAATAACAATCTGAATTGTGGGCTGATCCTCAGCTTTTGATGTGGGTGACCTGTTGTTACCAGATCTCATGATGCTTAAAAGAATAACTAAGACAGACTTACATTTTTGGTTTTAGCTGTTTTATACCACAGATTTCCTGCTGCCATTTCGCTCCTTTGCAGCATCTCACCCCCCTTTGGTCTGAATGTTCATGCTTTGGATTATTTTTCACCTTTAACTCAAAACTAATCAAATCAACAGCCATGCCTCAGTAACAAGGTGGTATTTGTTTCACTTCTACTGATTCTAAAGGGTTTCTAATTCAGAACAAAGTAAGCTTCAGAATTGTTGGTCTAAAGACGGTGGTTCTGTACAGTTCTTAGGGCCTTTCTTAATCCCAATGGACAAATATAGCCCAGTTCTAGAAGATTTTAAATTTTTTATTTTAAGAGATTCAATTATTCAAGCATTTCAATATTGCAATAATCAGAATATTCAGTAGCAGTTATTTTTAGACTCCTCCTGTGCAAAATGAATGTACCTGTGTTGATCTATAGCAGGGATCTACTTCGTGTTCTTTCTAGTTGCTTCATAACTTGCTACCTGATGCTAGGGCAAAGTAATTGCTCAGCTATGATGGGTTCATACACTGTAAAAGAAAATTGTAATTCTTACCAACATCTTACCCACAGTCATGTTAAAAATCCCAAGTTTTCACTGTTCAGCCTATTTTTGGAGCATTCTTATTGTTCCTTAAACATAAGCACAGACATAAATAAAAACATCCGTCCACCGTTGACTAAAGTGCTCAACTCAGAATATATATATATATATATATTATTCTTTTTTTTCCCGTTGTAAAATAATGTCTGGTTCACATTTATCTGTAAGTTGAATCCTGGTTTTAACACAGCCTTTGTCTCTTATTGTGAAACATTCCTTTGTGAGTTTGTGGATATGGACTTTAAATAATGACCCTATGTGAACTGCCAGCATTCTTTGATACAAAGCACAAATATTTGAATCCCTGAAAGCAATCTGTCCGAGTAGAAAAAAAAAACTATTAAATGCATGCAATGTAAGCGCAATTTACAGAATGCCATTTTCAAATTACAGAGGCAGTCAAACCCTGGTCACCTTACATTTCAATGTAAGACACTGATTTTTCTCACTCCAGCCCCTTAGGTGGCGGTAGTACACCTTAAGTAGGTTTGCCATTACACAAGAGGAAAGAGAGAGTTGCAGCTATTGCACAGATAAAAGCTTCTAAGAAGATGTAAGCATTTTCCACGCAATCATAACAATAAAGTCTTGCAACAATGCACTCTGGACAAATCATTTCAATTCAGAAATACCTTAAAAATAATTCCAAATGGAAATGAAATGAAATCAAACTTTCAGGGTCATGAAAAAATGAAACCCTGAGGTGAAACATTTACATGGTTGAGGGTTGTACAACGGGGATAAACTACTTTATTAACTTTTAAGAGAAGATTCCCTTTGACAAAGCTTGCAACTCGGTAAGGACAAAAAAAGCAAAAGATTGAGTCAATGATTAAAAATAAATACGGTAAATAAATAACTAAAATTCAAATTATCCCCTGACTGATTAAAAACTTTTTCTATTCCGCTCTAAACCTGTTCATTATTACTGTAACTCATTATTCTTTGCTAATACTTTGCTTTTATTTTTCCTCATAAACTTTGCTTTTAAACTGACAGGTTCAATTTGTACGACCTGTTTCTGCTTAAAGGAATAGTACACCCAAAACATGATTAGCCTTCATTTTCTACTCACCTCCATGCTGAACAACACTCTGGAGTACTTTTTTGATATCTCAAATGCATCTGGAGATCTGGGAGGCTTCTTGCTGTCTGCTGACATTCAAATAATGGAGGTCCATGGCGCCCGAGACAGAACTACTATTCCTTTAAGGGCATGCAGATTTTGATATCTTGCAGGTGCAAGACTTCCCCTGTAGTTCCTTGGATGAACATTTGTTCATGTGTATTCTTGGCTTTTCGTTTGATTTTATATCAAATTAACTCTACCTTCTGGGTTTCTTTTACCCTTGTTAAATCATTTTCAGTGAAAGAAAGGCAGAGCCTTTCAAGCAAACACGCAGGAAGATTTTAATGCCCCTCTTTTTTTAATTAGATTTGTTCTCCCCGATTTTTCAAGATAAGAATAAATGTACAGGTCAGAATGTATTATTGACCTTTCTGTTCTTTTATTTCAAATAATTAGTGGTAACTGGGAATCCACACCCATTCAGTCATCATAATATTTTTAAAAAGGCCAAATATTTCAGGAACTTACTTCACGAAGTGAAACAGATTAGATATATTAATTAGACTGATATTTTAAAACTTTTATTATTGTAAAATAAGATTATTTTCTTTAGTTTACAACCAATAAAAGAAGAAAAATTAGGATTAGAATTTAACATCAGACCAATAATAAAAAAAACAAAATAACTTGAATTTATGAAACGTGTTTAGTATCTGCTTAAAGGTTAAAAACAAGCCTTTTTTTAAGCAATATCTATATGTGTTAATGTGAATTTAGCACCCATAATTAAATATTTTTAAGGTTTGTTTTCTAATAAAAAAGGTTTCCTGCTTTTACATAATCACAAGCTATTCTCTACCAGGAAAAAAATATATATAGGTTTTTAATTACTTTTTTTGATAGAAGTAGTTCACTGATTCCTTCATCATGTTGTTTTGGATCAACTACTGAGTCAGGGTGTTGGGGCTCAGATTTAATTTGCATCCTTAAGACACCTACTCTTAAAGTGGATGCACTTAACGTTCGCCTCTGGACACAACTTCTAAAACCTGTGTAATGTTTAAATCATTCTTTGATTTCAGGCCTTTCAGAAAATGTCTTTTTTTAATTGAACCTGGTTTAGATGCAGTAGCTGTCTGTTGAGCTGCCGAAGCCACATGCAGGAGGTGCCTGTGGGAGCTTAAAGGAAATCAAGCTGTGCTATATTTACTCGCCTCTATCATGGGAGTACTAGCTGTTGGTCGGAAGAGGATAAAAAACTTTGGGATTTTTGTTAATTTAAAGGAATGGCTTATCGTTAGCTGCTTTGGAAACTTTCACAGATTTCCACAGTTACTGACTTCTGTTTCCGTATCACTCTTTTTAGCTTTCTTATCATGTTTCCTGCTGCTAGCCTGCTTGTCTGACTTTCAATGCTTCTAATAATTTACATTTTCTAAATGTGAAACAAAACTTTTAATTTCAGACTCATATTTAGTAGCTGAAGGCAGGAAGATAGGGTTATAGTCTCTGATTGGTTTTAATTGAATGGAAATGGGGGGAATTGTTGCGACATTCATTATCTAAATGAGGCCATTTGGAGTCGGAGGCATTTGATTGCTGCTGAAGCGTGTTTCCAGGCTGATAGTGTCCTAATTGCAGTTGACCCGGTCATGTTCCTTATTTTAAGAGGGGAGAATATTTGGACTGAGACACGGTCCATAAGTCATCTTCTAGCTTAGGCTTAAAGAATTTAAACTCTTTATGTCTTACAATATGTTGGGAATCTGTTCTAAAACACAAAACTAGGTGCCAGAAAATCTTTGGTAAAGGCTTCTGAAAACCCAGAGAGGGAAAAAAAAAGGGTTATGTTATTTGATTTATTATTATTTTGTTGTAAACAAAGTGAAGTAAAATCATACCACTCTAATTTCAAGCATTAAATAAATCTTTCAAAAATAGTTTTTGTTTTTTGTACTTGTTTGTACTGCTTTAGTTTAGACTTTTTAACAAGTAGCTTAAAACCTAGCTCACGCTAATAACCCTTAAGCTCCCATATAGATGGGTTTGATTTCACTTTTTTTTCCCTTTTTCACCTTTTTGTATTTTGGGTGCCGATAATAGAAGCTTTGCCACGCTTTGTCAAAAGTGTAGGGGAAGGCTGAAAATATATTGTTTGTTTATGTAAATGGGAGCAAGAAGAGAGAAGAAATGATTGGAAATGTACCGAAAATGTAAAATTCTGCAAGCTGGAAATTGTCTGGCTTTAACACAGCCTTTCTCTCTTATTTTGAAACATTCCTTTGTGGATTTCAGGATATGGGCTTTGAATAATGGCTCTGTGTTAACTGCCAGCCTTGTTTGATACAAAGCACAAATATTTGAATCCCTGAGAGCAATCTCTAGAAACTAAAAGATCATAGCTTTCAAATGAGATATACAACAAAGATGTGGGATTTATAATACTATTTTACTTGCCAATGGTATTTGGGCAAGCAATCTGTTTATGCACAAGCAATAAAAATGAACAAAGGTGGGAGCTAAGAGGTTAAAGTTTTCTGGTTTCTTTCTTTATTTCAGACTGTTCTTATAAACATCTGCATGAATTGTTAATTCCTCTCCACTCCATATTACTTATAGTTTTCTGTTGTTTTTTTTTTACGTAGAAATGGTAATTGGTTAAAGATACAGGTGAATATGAGTGTAAAAAAAACAAACTAGGATATTTTGCAAATTTTAGGCTTTAATCGGAACAAGTTTTTTATAATTAGGAAAAGCTTAGGTACCGGCTTTGATGCATGTAGTGAATACTGAAAATGGGATGGTTTTGAAATCTGGGCTTGGTCTGTTGGATAAAGAAAAACAACTAATGCAGTGTCAAGTGAACTTGCAGCAAAATTTATTTTATTTGTATGTTATAGTGTTTAAAATGCGGAAACCATATTTAAGAGAGGATTAACTGGCAGGTTGGGTTTAAAGAAAAATAGCCTGATTAGTGTTTCTCTACATTACTGTCAGATTGGGACAGAGAGAAGCTCCTGGAAGCCTGGATGAGCAATGCGGAGGAATGCTGCCAACGTTCAGGGGTGCAGATGCCCAACCCGCCTCCAAGTGGCTACAACGCCTGGGACACGCTGCCATCACCCCGCACTCCTCGCACCACCCGCTCCTCCGTCACCACCCCAGACCAAATCAGCCTCTTTGCGGGAGATGACGATTCATCTCTGGTGAGTAATTTCAAGATTCCATGCCTCCTGATTTAGATGTCTGTGCTGCTCTGATCCATTGAGGACAGAACATTCAGTCCGGTATGAGGTTTCTCTTCAGTACACACAGTGATGGAAAGACATGGCAGACATAATGCAGTGCTTAGGGAGGCTTCTATTACCTTTGCTTTTAAGTAGTTCTCTCTGTTTTCAGCAGAATCGTTGGAATAAAGAGTTGCTAAGAATCTAGAGGATAACTTATTCCAGCTACAAAGAAGGAGGAATAAAACTCATTAGTTACTTCCTTTGCAGCTTTAGATTTTCTTACCTTGTTTCAGAGAAAACCATCTGAAATGGAAAAAAAAATTGTGTGTATAATAGGGCTGCAACTAATTATTATTTTGCAAATCAGTTAATCTGTCGATTATTTTTTCAATTATTCGATTAATAATCAGATGTCCAAATATTCTTTAAAGATTTTTTTTACAAATGAATTCAACTGAAACTCAAAATTTTCCACTTGAAGAGTTCTGAATAGAGCATGTTAACAGACGAAAATGTTTCTTTTTATTTTCAATGCAAAATGTTTATATTTTATTTCACGATCTTGGTATAATTACTGCTACTATGTGGGTTGCTCAGTCAACTAAAGGCATGTTTTACATTCTCCATACTCCAGTTAAGGATAAATCAATTACTAAATTAGTTGACATTTATTTCAATAATTGATCAATCTTGATTATTCATTGTTTCAGCCCTAGTGTATATATCTCTGCTGAACAGTTTTACAAATATAAAAATAATGCAACACATATGCTGTGGGCCTGAGTCTCAGTGCAACGTCTGGCTGATTTGGAAAGAAGTCTATATCCTCACGTTTTTTTTTTTCCAGTCAGTGATGGTAGCACTTTAACATCTACCTTTGTTAACGAGTACGGTAATGATTTGTTAATATTATTTTCTTTGTAGAAATTAGTATATTCACATGCGGTCTGCCATACAAACACATACGGAACATACTCCACCAGAGAAATATCACTTTGCTGATTTTGGTTGAGACAAATTGAGAATAGAAGTAAATATTATTTTCTATAATATACTGAGGTCATTTTTATCTTTATTAGTGACCAAGAACTCTGTGCTTTTGTATTAAATATGATTATTGTTGATGATTTATGATATCTGAGTGCAGTTGGCAGAAACACAGAGCTATAGTTCAAGTTCAATATAAATGAAACCGCAGTTCAGTAAGGATTTATTAATTTTGTGATTTGAAATTGTTCATTTTGACAAGCTGTCTGTATTTTTTGACCTTTATAAACATCAGTTTAATGTGCCAATTGCTCAAGTGCAATCAAGGACTTATTTAAAGCTTCTAGTTGTCCCCAAATCAATAGTTGCATTGTAGAACCCCTCTGCCTCCTCTTTGTCTTTTTGTGCGGGGCAATCTTCCAGCTCTTGTGTGTTCGGCCCTGTTTGTTTTCGTGGGTGTGAGAAACTACATCTGCTAACAGAGCAGTCATCTTTGAGCCCTTTCTTTTAGCGGGGTCCTAATCTTAGCAGGATTGCCTTTTTATAAACCATGCAAGCTATTGTGTGGAATCCCACCACACTGACCCATTGGACCTGCATCCATTGCTGTTTCAGTCAGTAAAGTCAGGTCGCACATTCAATTATGTCGAGATGTTTTCAAAGTCTGTTTTCTTTTACGATTTTAGACTGTTCAGCAAAAAGAATCATAAATAATAACTAACTGCAGGTTTTTTGTATGCTGTGATTTTCATGTTCAACATTAATGTTTTAACCTTTCTGTCTCTCAGTGTGGTATCTGCATGTGCTCCATGTCCTTCTTTGAGGAACCTGTAGATATGTCCTGTGGCCATGATTTCTGCAGATCATGCTGGGAAGGGTAAGTAACAAACATCTAAATATTTGGATTTTAGCTAACAACATCACAAATGGAGAGAGGTTGCCCTTTAGTGTGGGACATGAAAATGAAAACAAGCTGGATGCTTATCAATAGATGATCCATTCCAAAAAAACACTGAACAGGATTCCTTGTGCTTTAATTTACACCAATTAAATGGGTGTGCTGATAACATGTTGTGCCCGGGGAAGCATTATTTAGTGCTTTGTTAAATCAGAATCACTCCGTATTCCAATATTAATCAATAAAGGAAATATTTAGTTGTTTTTTTTTTTTTACAGCTAAGAGGCTAAAACCAAACATTTTCATAACTAACCTGCTATTTGAAACCGTGTTCAGACTTTTCTTCCCATTTTTGCAAATCCCTGCTAAGCTGGACATGTCACTGTTACCTTTCGCCAGAGGAAGTCAGCAAACCAAAATCCTATAAGAATTTAAGATGGGGAAAGTAGTCCTAAGTGTTTAATCATGCATTGATGTAGTAACTAGGGGTCTGTTTTAGTAAACAGTGTAGCAGTAATCTCAGGATCCCATATAGAATGGGAAATTAAAGGAAGGTATGGAATTTGATTTAAGTATTTCCTAGGTTAAGATAGGTGTGGAATAATAACCCTTAAAAGCCGTGTTTTCTTCCACACTTCCTGCATGAGATATATATATATATATATATATATATATATATATATATATATATATATATATATATATATATATATATATATAAATATGTGTGTGCATACTAGATTTTTTTTTTTTATAAATCCATTGTTTACTTAAATTGTGTTCATTTTGAATTTAAGGGAGCCTGGAAAAAGTCTGTAATGCTTCCATGAAAAGTACATAGGAACATTATAATGTCACTTCTATAGTGTACATTATGTCACACTATAATGTACTTACCTGTTTCTGCCCCATTTTCTATTCCAGATTTTTCACTAAAAAAGGTTAAGCATTTCTTATCTATTCAAAGTGACCTCTGAAGGTTAACATCTATTTTGGTTCCCCTGCCAGTTTTTGCTGTAATTCATAGGTTAAATAACTTAACTTCACAAATGTATGGGATGAGGGAAGCAGGATTTCATTTATTCTGTGGAATTCAATTATAAGACTATCCCAGATATTTTCAACTGATATTCAGCTGAAGACTCTAGTCAAGTTTGCTTTATTATTAAAAATATGTCCATGATTATATTAAGCAAATGTCATATTAGTTCACTTTGCATGGCTGTGACTTGTAGAAAACATTATGTTACTAAGCCATTATAAAATATTTAAAATAATGCTATAAAGTATGTAATAACATTCAAGCAGGTAATGGAAATGCCATTGAATTTATTTTTCTTCATAGTTTTACTATTTTTTTTAGAACTCTTTACCACAGTGTGTTTCTGTTTGATCTGTTTCTTTTCATACTTCTCTGATGTGTTCGACTCTTTTCCTTTTAAAGGTTTCTCAACCTAAAGATTCAAGAGGGAGAAGCCCACAACATATTTTGTCCTGCCTATGATTGCTACCAGCTAGTACCAGTGGAAGTTATAGAAAGTGTGGTCTCCCGAGAGATGGACAGGCGCTACCTCCAGTTTGACATTAAGGTCAGTTTAGGTTGAAAATGATCCTTATTTGTTTGGTAGATGAACACCAAGGATGGAACCCTCTGCTCGAAAAGTTGGTAACTGATGATAGATTGAAATTAATTGTATTTCTTTGCTTCTACATTTTTATATGGAGATAAAGTGTCTTTTCTTTGAAACCAGCGTAATTTCTCTTAAAGTTACAAAAGAAAAACTCACCTTTGTTGACTGAGCTTATCGTTGCTTTCTTTCTTCATCAGGCGTTTGTGGAAAACAATCCAGCAATACACTGGTGTCCTGTGGCGGGATGTGAAAGAGCCGTACGACTGAATACTCAGGGCCCAGGGACCTCCAGCGCGGACCCTTTGAGCTTTCCTCTGCTTCGGGCCCCTGCTGTAGATTGTGGAAAGGGCCACCTCTTTTGTTGGTCAGTAGATGAACAGTTTTCTACTGCTTTTAGAATCAGCAAGAATTTTGTTTTTTGAAGCATTTTGGCTTTTTAGAATTTAGCGAGATGTAATCCAGGAAAAAAAAAAAAAAAGATACAATTTTAAACAAATATTTTTATTGACAGTTTTGAGTTTAGTTGCAGAATAATAGCTGTGTGAATTGAAAAAAAAAACTTAGAAGCTTAGAAAAATGCTAATTCTTCCTAAAAATTTATAGTTGGTGCTTTTATCATATTCATAATGCAACACACTCCGCCCTTGCATTTGCCTTGTAGCCCACTGGTATAACCTCTAGCCCACCATGATTAATCCTATCTAATTATAATGATAATACCTTAGTGCGCCTCACTTCATTATACTGTTCTTGAGAGTAGCTGGTGGGTATCTTCAGGAGTTTAATTGACACACCATTTGTTAGAGGAAATGAATCCAACATCGGTTCAGCTTTAATCATTTCCATAACATGAAGAGGTTGTGGAGTTAAAATGCAGATTTGGCCATCCAAAGGTGAATTGAGGTCTCTACACCTTCTGCTTTAGTACTTTTCTTGTATTGTTTTAGATTTTGTTCATGTTTATTCAGAATACAAACCCGTTTACTTTTTAAATTTTATTTTACATTTGTCTCGGTGTTTATTTCAGGGAATGTCGGGGAGAGGCACATGAGCCCTGTGACTGTGACACCTGGAAGCTGTGGCTTCAGAAAGTCACTGAAATGAAACCTGAAGAATGTGAGTATTTACAAAGTTTAACCTTTTTTTTTCTTTGATAAAAAGTGAAATGGTTTACACAATAACTACAGAGTCTGTATACTTTATTTTAATGTTTTTATAGCTTATTTAATTTATCTATGCTGTAGGAAACATTAGATTATGGAGTATTAAATTATTATTACATAGTTACTCTTTCACGGCTTAGGTCTTTTTATTTGTTTGCAGAAGAGGGTTTGATTTGGGAATGAATTGCCTGCTTCTCATTCCTAGGAACATTTTAGTTATAAAGAAATTAATTGTCATTCTCATGACAAATACTAAATTGAGAAGATTAACCCATGAATCGAACATGTGCAATGTCTGCGAGCAGAAATTGGACTGTAAGCAATGTAACAGATGATTTAAGATGCCCCATTTTCCTCCTAAGTGCCAGTTTTGTTGATGTGACAGGAGAAAAATAATGGCCATTATTTTGTTTTGGTACTATCTCCTGTTCAATCTCCCCAGATTCTCTTTCATCCTGGTGTTTCAAATGACACGTCAGAGATGCTTTGTTAATGGCCAATTACACCGAATGTGTGTGAGAGTGGGTGCATTGGCATCTGGGGAGATATCGGTAAAATACCTGAGCAGCACACATTACTCAGGCAGAGCAACTTCCCATTCAGTGCATTAGTTTGTATTGATGCTGGGGTAATAGTCATTCTCATTTGATCTCATTACGGTTTTATTTCTTGTGTTTACCACTCCTGTTGCAGTGGCTGGTGTAAGCGAAGCTTATGAGGATGCAGCCAATTGCTTGTGGTTACTCTCCAACTCTAAACCCTGCCCAACATGCAAGTCTCCAATACAGAAAAATGAGGGCTGCAATCATATGCAATGCGCTAAGGTAGGCGTCTGCAACCACTGTGTGCTCTGCTTCTTATAGCTTATTTATAGAGCGAATTGTATTAATAATATTTAAAGTAGGCAAATAAATGCTACTGTTTGAGCTTCTGCCATCATTTTTCCCCCCATTTCCTGTTTAAAAAATTCATTTAAATTGTTTTAACGTTAGTCCATCCTGAAAAAAAACTTAAATAACTAAATTTATAGACCCAAACTTCCAACCAGCACAAATTTCTAGTCTTGTCTGTAAACTGGATAATTTATAAGCTAAGCCCAAAGTAATTTGACTTCTTATACACTGACTCACTTCTATGTCCAACTTCTGTGACCCCTGAAAGCTCTCTGTGGAGTCTAAATAATGATCAAGACAACTGCTTTAAATTTTTGCTTGGATGTTTTATTACATTCAGGTGTGATTTCTCACTGCTTTTTTAAAGTAAACTTTTATTTTTGAGTAATGTGCTTGAATTTATTATGTGAGAATTTATCCAGTTTTGCATAAGCGATGTTTTTTGACATACGTTTTTGACAAACTTTAGACTCTGCTGAACACCGATCGTGAATCTAGAGGGTAAACTTGTTTTCTAATCTTCTAAAAAGAGATTTAAAAGCCTGAAAATTTAAAAAGGCAACCTATGAAAACACAGTTTATTTTTTTCCTCATGATATGTCAAGTAATAATGTTTTCTTAATTTTCCTGTGTCTGTATGCAGCTTTCCAGTTGCTCAGTGTTTTGTAGCCTCACATTGGCTCTTAATAATTGGAGACACAAAAGATGAAACTAGGACTTAAATTAATAACTTTTCTCATCTTAGAGCGCCACTTAATGACAAACTGCTAACCACTTTAGGACTTTAGTTTTGCATGTTTACACAGAAAAGGCTTTTTAAAAGATCCCAGTTATACAAATAAAAGAGGAAGCTAATGAAGAGCCTACCAAAATGGCACTGACTGGAACTTCTTCTAGGTAGGAAAAAAAAGAAGTTTGCCTCTGCAGTGAAACTGTCCTCCTCACTAAGGCACCAGATCCAGCTGAAGATAAATGATGGTTTGGGGGTGTTTTGATGCAGTTCTAGTTGATGATATTTTTAATCAAATTTCAAGGCATATTCAATCAGCAGGTTTATTATACTGTCGTGTTTAGCTGTGCTTTACCTTCAGGAGCCTTTTTTTTTTTTTTTTAAAGCTCTTACTGTTGTCAGGCTGAAGGACAGTAAAGTCTGTTGAAAAACAAGGTTTTGTAAAAAGGAGGATCGTGTTCTATTAGTCACCTTATCTTCATTCTTTTAAAACATTCTGAGGTCAGCTTCACCGAAAATGTTCACATCCTGTAAATATGTGTTGCTACACACACACACTTGAAAAATGGGGAGTGGCATCCTAGTGGTTAGGGTATTGCTCTTGGAATCCTGAGGTTCTGAGTTCAAGTCCCAGTCCCACGGACTGCCACTCTGCATCCCTGAGCAAGACCCTTTACCCCTGGGCACCGCAAAATGGCAGCTTACTGCTCCCCAAGGGGATAGGTTAAATGCAGAGAGTTCATTTAATTGCTCTGTCCTTGTGACAGTGCATTGGCAATAAAATGTTAGAGAAAAAAAAAAGTTGACCTAAAGTGACCTCTTAGGTTAACAACTTTAATATTTACCTATCTTTGTTTTGTGTTTGTTTTATGTTTGTTTGTAGAGGTAATCTTATTAAGACTTTTATTTTATTTTTTGGGGACTTGCCATATGGGTTTTCTTTATCACTTTAGACATTTTCTCAACTTTTACTGTCTTGTGTCTCTCACTGTGTGAAACACAGTGAGAGAAGAACTGCTGGGCTGCTGGTTCTGGTCTGACCCTCTCTGTCCTGACTCAGACCAAGAGTCAGTAGCCCCCTTTACACTACCCTTCTGAAACCGTGAGAGAACGGTCCGAGCACAGTAGCCGAGATAACTGTCAAGGGTAAATAGAACGAAACTGAATCAGACCGTGTCTGACACAACCGAACCACGCTAAATCTAGTACTTGTTCTAAAGTAGGGCTTGGCACAGCACATAAGCAGTCAGCTGACTAATTTTGTGGGTTTTCCGGCGAGTCCGGCTTTGCAATTAGCAGATCTCTTCACCTGTTCAAAACACAAAATTCTTCTCAGGCTATTAACAATAAATGGCATCAAAAGAGCGTGGTGCAACCTGGGATGATGCAGAGACCGAGGCTCTAATTAAGAATTTGGATGGACAACGCTATCAGGCAGATAAGTTCTTTAAAGGTTGTGGGCGCCGCCATTTTTGTTTGCGCCAATTACCATCCTGAAGTATCGTTCACCGCCACTAGGAGGCGGGGAACCGTGCTAGCTTGATTTGAAATGGTCGTTGGAACCAAGCTTGGTTTGATTAACTGATCCAAGCTCGGTCTGCACTCTGCACAGATCGTTTTCAGGGGGTAATGTAAATGGGGCAATAAATAAAAGACACCTAAACACTGTGCAGCATGTTGACGTTACACAAATCACAAAATGTCTAAAGTGGGGGAGAAAATCTCTTCCTGTGATTGTGTTTGAATAGCATTAAATAGAGCCACAGAGAAAGCCATGTTACAGATGAAAAAATGCATCATTTTAAAACAGAGTGAACATGCTAATTTGGCTAGCAAGATAGTTACTAAATTATTTTAAGTTCTTATTTAAAGAGCTTTTACTTAATAGATAGACTTAATAGCATTAGAAGATAGAATTCACTTGGAAAAGTTGAAGGTAAAACGATGCATGGATTTCTTAGGCCCCCGTGTAATTTTATTTTCCTTGATTTTCATTTACTTTCACAAAATAATTTCTTTAATCTTTGTTGTGTTTTTTCTATTTACATTTAAAGTTAATTGCAGTTTTTCTTGTGAGCTAAACAGGATTTACTTTGACGGTTTATTTCAGTAGAACCTCAAAAATTGTGAAATTCCATCTGGATGAAAATCTGTTAACTGTTCTTTGGTTAACTTTCAAGGTTTTCCTTTTCAGGCTGTGTTTTTATAGAGGGAAATAGTGATGACCTGTTGTCGGATGAGTCTAAGCTGCTGTCGCTGCTTTCCCTGCAGAAGCACACCACAGTTATACTGCTGGGATGTTTTAGGCCATGACAGCCCTGTTGCTCTCTCCACTGGTTAAATGGGCTGACTAGAGACTTTCGTTTTATTTTGTGAAATTGAGCTGCCTTCACAAGTTGAAAGGCCATATGAGGCTAAGCCTTCTGACCTGTTATTACCTTGTAAAAAATGGCTTTAACCTCTCTGCTTGGAAACATGGGAGTCAGTGTTGCCAAGGAACTGCTATCTTCTTCCTTCTGGTGTGCCGTCACACTTTCCCCCCTCCTTTAGTCTTTTCATCTTACACCTTTGTTTGTGAGTATGCGCTTCCATTAAATATCCCTTATCCGTCCAGCCTCCGTTCTTAGCTTTCGTATTGTTTTTTCTGAAGTGTCATGGAAGAGCAGTGTTTCCAGGACAACGCAGATGCAAGCCTTTTTGTGTCGCTAACTCCTCACCAATAGAAGCACTTGTGACATAGGGAGAAAAATGACTGAGATGAGAACATGCTGCAGATTCAAGTGGCTCGATGTGTTTGTTACTCTGCAATGCCAGTGGGATTTTCTGATCGCTAATGTTGTCGGTGAGCCTTCTGGTGGCAGCAAACTGCAAGGAACTGCATCATCCAAGGAGCTGCTCTCATCATGCTAAATATAGATTATCCTTTATCTTCCACCTATTAAAGCAAATAAAGGGGAGAAAGAGTTCAAGTAAATATAACAATGTTTTGGGGATTTAAAAGTTATGCTCTCGCTTTAGTTCCTCATCTTTTATAGTAAGAATCCAATAGTTACACCAGAGCTGGTTCTCAGGACAGGTAAAAATTATATTACTATAAAGTTTCAGAAGAGATTGTAAAAATATGTGTCTTCTCTACTCCTCCAGTGTAAGTACGACTTCTGCTGGATCTGTTTGGAGGAGTGGAAAAAGCACAGCTCTTCAACTGGTGGTTACTACCGCTGCACTCGTTACGAAGTCATCCAGCAGGTGGAAGAACAGTCGAAGGGGATGACAGAAGAGGTACATACTCTCACAATGAAATTGGGTTTTGTCATATCTGAGATCTATGCTATTTGCCAAGATTTCATCACAGTTACAGTAGATGTTCTGTCTTAAATAAGATTTCACAGCCATGTGTGACAACAGGGAGTAGACACAGTTGTGCAATGACAGCTGTTATTTGAGTAGCCTCCTGTTGCTATGATGTACAATAAGTATTTTACAGGCAGACAATTCTTTTCCATTATTTTTTAAGTAATTTTTATATGAAAGCATAAAACAGCTGCAGAACAACTCAGTATTTAATTTGATACTTTGTCAATAAAAAGGTAGCAAAAGAACCAGATAGCTGTTTTTGTAAAGGAAATTAAGTTTTGTGTTCTTAATGTTCTACAGTTTGGAAATTCTAACATGAAAAAAACAGCTTACAGCTGAATTAAACATATAGATTAAAGATCATGCCAAAAATTGAAAAGGTTATAAAAAAATAAAAAAAAAGACATGAAAGACTGATTTTGGTTGATTCCAAATGTTGGTTTGAGGACCAAAACATGAAGAGCAATTGACAGATTAATTACCTGTTTAAAATAGGAGCAGGGGCAACACCTAATCAAATGTGAGAAAAAACAATTACGGTTAAATAGATTTTATTTAGATGTACAAAAAATAAGTGAATATGCAGTTCATATTTTGTATTCCCTTTAGGTATTTATTTTCTCATTTAGCATTTCTGGCATAGATAGCTTTACTTTTTATAATAGTAGTCTTCATATGCACAGTATACACAAATCCTTGACTCTCATTTCCAAAACGATTGTTAATCTTTTCTAAGCAATCTTTGGAGGTAACAAGCCACCATAGCAGTGAACATGGTACTGAAATCCCACCTGAAGCCATGGAGATAGGAGAGTTTTGGGCGACAGTGGCATTGGATGTAGGAGTTTGCCCTGAAATCGAAGGATTGACGGTTCAAGCCCCGACTCCGACTTTCAGTGTCGTGTCCTTGGGAAAGACACTTCACCTGCATTGTCTACTGATTAGGGGTGTGGGAAATAATCGGTTTGGCGATATATCGTGATATTCGGCTGCCCTATATAATATTGATCTTTCATTCTTAGTATCGATTTAAAGAAAAAATGGTTACATAAAACATTGATGGGAAAATGGGCTACCTCTGCACCACCACTCTGGCCGAAAGCGCTGTGGAGCCCTTTAACTGTGCTTGCAGCACCAAATCTGTATTTGAGGCAGTCACAGTGGAAGAAAACCCCAAACAACATGGATAATAATACCTACTCAATATTTTCTGATGAAAATATACAGCACTTTTTGTTTTATCTCATCATTTGATTTTGATAGCTGGGGAAAATATGGCAATATATAGTGATACTGCAATATCGTGAAAATATCGTATCGTGACCCAAGTATCGCGATATGTATCGAATCGCAACACTCATGCCAATACTCACCTCTACTACTGATGGTGGTCAGAGGGCCTGGTGGCGCCAGTGTACGGCAGCCCCGCTTCTGTCAGTGAGCCCCAGTGCAGCTGTGGCTACAATGTAGCTTGCCACTATCAGTGTGTGAGTATGTGCGTGAATGGGTGAATGAATGTAGTGTAAAGCGCTTTGGTCAAGTCTCCTAACTTGAATAAAGGTGCTATATAAGTACATGCCATTTACCATTTTGCCAACGGAGGACAAAGCAGGTTAGGTTGCTAGTGCTAGCAATAGTTTGGCAGAAGTGCTTATCGGCCCAATCAAAATACAGGCAGGTCTGTGACAGACATACTTGTGGCAACTACTTCACAAAATACATAACCCTTACACAATGAAATAGCTAATTGAGAGGTTGTACTCCATATTATAGTTCTGTTGTTAGTCATATGACATGTTTATTTTTTAATCTGTCTCAATCATATTTAGTTGACTCATACACTATATTGCCAAAAGTATTTGCTCACCTGCCTTGACTCACATATGAGCTTAAGTGACATCCCGTTCCTAATCCATAGGGTTCAATATGACGTCGGTCCACCCTTTGCAGCTAGAACAGCTTCAACTCTTCTGGGAAGGCTGTCCACAAGGTTTAGGAGTGTGTTTATGGGAATTTTTGACCATTCTTCCAGAAGCGCATTTGTGAGGTCGCACACTGATGTTGGACGAGAAGGCCTGGCTCTCAGTCTCCGCTCTAATTCATCCCAAAGGTGTTCTATCGGGTTGAGGTCAGGACTCTGTGCAGGCCAGTCAAGTTCATCCACACCAGACTCTGTCATCCATGTCTTTATGGACCTTGCTTTGTGCACTGGTGCACAGTCATGTTGGAAGAGGAAGGGGCCAGCTCCAAACTGTTCCCACAAAGTTGGGAGCATGGAATTGTCCAAAATGTCTTGGTATGCTGAAGCATTCAGAGTTCCTTTCACTGGAACTAAGGGGCCAAGCCCAGCTCCTGAAAAACAACCTCACACCATAATCCCCCCTCCACCAAACTTTACACTTGGCACAATGCAGTCAGACAAGTACCGTTCTCCTGGCAACCGCCAAACCCAGACCCGTCCATCAGATTGCCAGATGGAGAAGCGCGATTCGTCACTCCAGAGAACGCGTCTCCACTGCTCTAGAGTCCAGTGGCGGCGTGCTTTACACCAACGCATCCGACGCTTTGCATTGCACTTGGTGATGTATGGCTTGGATGCAGCTGCTCGACCATGGAAACCCATTCCATGAAGCTCTCTGCGCACTGTTCTTGAGCTAATCTGAAGGCCACATGAAGTTTGGAGGTCTGTAGTGATTGACTCTGCAGAAAGTTGGCGACCTCTTCGCACTATGCGCGTCAGCATCCGCTGACCCCGCTCCGTCAGTTTACGTGGCCTACCACTTCGTGGCTGAGTTGCTGTCGTTCCCAAACACTTCCATTTTCTTATAATACAGCTGACAGTTGACTGTGGAATATTTAGGAGCGAGGAAATTTCACGACTGGATTTGTTGCACAGGTGGCATCCTATCACAGTTCCACGCTGGAATTCACTGAGCTCCTGAGAGCGACCCATTCTTTCACAAATGTTTGTAAAAACAGTCTGCATGCCTAGGTGCTTGAATTATACACCTGTGGCCATGGAAGTGATTGGAACACCTGATTCCAATAATTTGGATGGGTGAGCAAATACTTTTGGCAATATAGTGTATGTAATGTTTGTAGGTCTTAACTTGTTTCCGTGATTAATGATAAGTAGAGCGACCTCAATATAGTTTAATATTAACATAATGGGTGTTAACTATAAGTAGATGTAGAAAATGCTAAGGAGAGCGGCTAACTTCTCTTGAACGATTTTCACTCCCTACGTCGCCATCGCTCTATAAAATGTTGCCCATTGTCACCATTAGAGTTGACAGAACTCTCCTATCTCCATGGCTCTGTAGGGAGGTCTGGACAGCTCACTTTCTCAACCAGAGTTCAGTTTGGCTTAGACTGTATTTACTCACCAACAGGTATTATGATGGCCCTGCCTTTCTAACACTGGATACTAAAATGTTTTTATTCAAGTTTTATTATGTTAATTAAAAGCATTAGAATTTAAACTTACTCATTAATTGGGTAAAGGAGGATTATTCGAACACAAATATATGTATAATTGATGTTGTTCATACTCTTGTTCAAGCACTTAACAAACAAGCTAGCAGAGGCAGTGTTTTGTTGAGCTTTGTCAGGAGAGCAATACTCTGGTTGTTTTTAATCCTCCTATTTATAAAAACAAACAGAATTTTTTAATTTTAGATTTGATGAATTAGGTGGTAGTCCAGGGCAGCTTTGTTGGGGTAGAAAACTGTTTATTTAATCATGCAATAATCCTCCCCCACAGGTGAAAAGAAGCACATTCTTAGTCTAATTTAGCATTCCCACCAATTACCAGTACAGATTTCACCTTTTGGCACAGCTTCCTTTGACTCCTCAGATACAGGGTATTTATGCTTTGTCTGTTAGAGAGAACAACATGTTTGGGGGTTTATTGACTGTGACTGTCTCGTCACGGTTTTGCAGGCAGAGAAGAAGCACAAGAGCTTTCAGGAACTTGATCGTTTTATGCACTACTACACACGCTTCAAGAACCATGAGCACAGCTATCAGGTAAAATTTGCCTCCCTCTGTTGTTTGATTTGCATATTATACTGACAGGCATGCAATCTAACAAACCTTGAGGGAAACATAGCCTTAGACAGGCATTCATTCTGAAGCACTAATCTTTATAAAGTAAAATGTTTTTGTATAAACTCAGCTGTTATAGTCTATCCACTCTTGTATTAATTTATAGCTATATAATAACTATATTTTTAACAATGCTCTGGTAAAAAATTCAGCATTCTTGGTCCCCAATATGTTTCACTCTGACACTTAGCATATGTAGCATTTTGTCCTATACACAATTTAATATAATACAAGTTACGGGTAAAACTTTCCTTTAAAGTACAAAAGGTAAAAAGAGATACCGTATTTTCACGACCATAAGGCGCACCGTACTAAAAGGCGCACTCTCAGTTATGTGTCCCATTTCTGTATTTAACACACACATAAGGCGCACCGGACTATAGGGCGCGTTTTTTATATACCGGTACATGTCCTCTACTACCTTTAAATACCTCTACTGCGTATTTAAAAATACAGCGGGGGCAAAACTGAGTATGACTGTGCTTTATTCATGTATTTATTACAAAGTATTAATCAAACCTGGCAGCTGGCCGTGAGACAGACACATCGCAGATGACACAGCGCTGTCATCACTCCTAAATTAACTTAAAATCCTGAAACCTGCCGACAGAATATGTTCGCTTTTATTACCGGTATCCTGGTGCCTGCAGCTAAAATTATTTAGATGAAAAACACCTGCCAGCAGCCGCGGTGAACGAAAGGATTTCTCCTGTCGGTGCACCGCTGGTATGTGGGGGTCTGAGCGGCTCCGACAGAAATAGATAATCTGGATGAACTGACTGCAATTATTAAGTTTTCAGGTGGACTTTCTCACTTAAAAACATATTAAAACTACTTTATTCCAACTGATCACAGCAAATATAGCTGCAAGATTTAGATTATTTAGATGAAAAAACACCTGCCAGCCACCGCGGTGAAGAGGAGGAGACGCGCCCAGAGGCTGATGTTGAATTAAGTTTTCAGGTAGAAAAATAGAGCGGGAGCAAAACTGAGTATGATTGTGCTTTATTCATGTATTTATTACAAAGTATTAATCAAACCCATCAAAGTCATCATCCTCTGTTTCTGAATTAAACAGCTGCGCTAAATCAGACATGCCAGTTTCCCCTTCTTCGCTGTCAGAGTCACTTTCCGTGCAGCGCAGCTCCTCAGAAATAATGCCGGCTTTTGCGAAAGCTTGAACAACAGAGCCAGCAGACACGTTAGTCCATCTACAATCCATCCGCAAACGGTGGCGTAACTTGCACGGCGCTGCCTTCCACTTATCCTGAAACTGTGGTCTCAGTCTGTCATCCATCGCTCCCACGCCGCTCGCAGCCTTACTGTGAACGGCCGCTTCACACCGATGTCGAGCGGTGGAAGTTCCTTTGTCAGACCCCCCGGGATAACGGCGAGCACAGCGTTCATTTGATTCATCTTTTTTTCACATCGGCTGTGAGATGGGCACGCAGCGATGGTGATGCGTGGAAAAAAGCACCTGGTCTCCTCACATACACCTGCCTTTCATCATCTCCTCATCGATCCAGCCTTTTTCATTTGCGTTAATGTCATCAGAGCGCTGTGTCTGTCTCGCTGTCAGCTCCCAGATCAGCTTCTCTGATTGGTTGATGCGGCGCGTCCAGCAGCAAAACTTCAATTTTTCCATCTGAGCAGCAGCAGCGCGTTGGCGGTGCATCAGATGCTTAAACGCTCCCGACGTGCTGCACCAAAACGCGCTGCAGGACCTTTTGCTGCACCTATATGCGCGTCAACCATTGACTTTGCATGTAAACTCGCTGCTTCTGCTGCACCTGCTGGGTCCGGTTCACACCGATGTCGAGCGGTTGAACAGCGAGCACAGCGTTAATTTGTTTCCCCATGTTTTTCACATCAGCTGTGAGATGGGCAGGCATGGAGTCACAGATTAATGGTGATGAGTGGAAAAAAAACACCTGGTCTCCTTACATTCAGCCACTCTTTTATCATCTCCTCAATGAGGTGGTCTCAAAAGTCGCAGTTACAACACACATAGGGCGCACCGCACCATAGGGCGCACCGCACATTTTGAGGGAAAAAAAAGACGTTTAAGTGCGCCTTATAGTCGTGAAAATACGGTATCTAGTAATTATTGTATGGCTACCTATTAAGGTTGGGTGATATGTAACAACAGATATTTGTCAGTCCAACAAATGGCGATAAATACATATTTGTGTAGGTGACCTTGAGGTTAAAGACAAGCACACCCTTTAGAGCGCGTCTTCTGCTCAATTGGTAATATTGATTACCACCTTTGCACATTGCTAAAACCCAATAAGAGTTTTAACAATTTATTATGCTTGTTTTCTTGCTTGTTTTCTTGTCAAAAATGTATACGTTTTGTCAAGTGGGAATGGTTTGCTCTTTTCCGGTTGTTCTGATTACGTTATGAGACATTTTAGTTTTTGATCGTTATTCATTTGTGTATCTGAATGTGCAACAAACAGACTGAGAACTGTTGCTGAGATTTTTGTTCATATGGAAATTACACAGCTTCTCTGGAGGAAGAATATTCCCTTCTTTTCTTTTATATAAGTTTGTATTGTTTAAAATCATATCTGTAACAGACGGAACGGCCTGTAAACGCACTTGAAAAAACAACCTGTTTTCTCTGGTTCTGTTTCAGCTGTATAAAAAAACAAAAAACAAACTGCTTGTCTCTGGTTTGGATGAGTTCTTTATTTCTGTCTCAAGTTTAAGTAGATAAATATGCTGCTGCACGGTGGCACTGGGGAAAAAAGCTGCAGCTGGAAGGACGTTGTGTGTAGCGTTAAAAACGGCATTGGGTCCAAAATAAAAAAAAAAAAAAAACGCAGACCGTTGAAGCTTTGAGTCTATTGTCGATGGTTGATAGATTCGTCCAATCGCCCAACCTTACTGCTAATACTTATAGGATGGTATAATTTTCATCTGTTCCCTTCATGTTTTTACTTTTCATGTACTGCATGTCTTTCCATTGTTTAATTTGGTTTGGCTCTGGCACAGTTTGGCTCCACAATAAAACCTTGTGTCTTCTTTATAGCTTGAGCAGCGTCTGTTAAAAACAGCCAAAGAGAAGATGGAGCAGCTCAGTCGAGCCCTGAGTGGAAGTGAGTGTGCAGTTTGCTATAACAATGTCAATGATGTATTACACCTTTATCTGCAACTTTCTGTGCTCTGCTATTAAACATTTGGAAGCTAGGAAATGATAATAAGAAATCTAAATAATTCAGTAAATTATAACTTTCCAACCGTCCGCACATTTATAGTATTTAGACAAGGATACTCCACAGGGTTCAAGATTACGAAGTTGGACTTTATGCGTCACTAAGTATTGCGAAAACATAAAGCATGAAGAGATTCTTTAGCTTACCTTAGTTCTGAGCTTTTTCTTATAATGCAATGAATATGTAGCCTAGTAAACTAGCCCCACCCGCCTGCAGCCAAAATAATTTTTGCCTGCGTGTTTGGTCCAACCTCGATCAGTGCCCCAGGCCCTAGAGCTGGTGGGCCAATCACAACGCAGAGATTTGTTTTGAATGTCCGGATGCAAAGCGGTCGGGGTTTTGAGGGCGTGAGGACAAGGCTGCATCTCTCGACATAGTCTTGTGTGAAGGACAGCTGGCTCTGATGGCGATTTTTGACTCAGCTCTGGAATCCGTTTTGGAAGGATTAGAGTTGATGTTTTCGTTGAAACGTGTGCAGGAAGAAGCTCTACCCTCTTTCATTTTTAAGAAGGACGTATTCGCAGTTTTACCGACAGGCTGTTTGTTTACCCCCACTAGCTTCCTGTCGCGCTTCCTACAACACAGTCAGTTGCGCTCATTGATCAGAGCGTTGGCCATTAGGCCCAGACATGGTTTGAAAAACAACGGGTTGTTCTTATCAACAATCTTCCGATGTCTCATTCACTGGGGCCAGACTAAATAACACCTTTCATCTCCCATTTAGTCTGGTTTATCAGGCTAGTGAATATGGTAACTTTATCATTTTGTTTTTATACTATTAAACAAAGAGAGTAAATCCATTGTTTTATCCAATGAGACTTCTAGTTTATTTAAGGAGGCAATTTATTAATTTAATTTTGATTGTGTTTTTTATTATTTACAGCAGTTAAACCGACATATAAAGTCAGGCCCAAATCCCTAACCCCCCCCCCCCCCCCCCCCCACCCCCTTGCTATCACATGAAGGAAAAAAAAACAGGAACAGAGTGTTCAAGTAATACCGTACTCAAACCTATGCATATGTATAAAATGGATTAAACGTTTCAGCTTAGCCCAACTATTTGTCAACATGACATGTTAACATATACTCAACATAGCTAATTAATGGTTGCCAGACAGAATAGAATTTCCATGCATATCCTCCAATGGTGAACTTAATCATTTCGCAATAAGTGTGGCTCTCACATCTCTAATCCACCCTCCAAATGTTGGGGGCTGAAGATCCCTCCACTTTCTGCAGGGCTTAAAGGAAAAAAATTAAAAATAAACTGAGCCTGAACTTTTTTGAAAAGGGCTGGGGTTTTTTTTGTGTGTGTAAATAAACTCCTTTTAAAAAGGTATGTAATGTATTTATTATTATTAATTATTTTTGGGAATAGTTTTAATTCCTTGTGAAAATGTACAAATTTTAATGTAAACTGCAGACTATAGCAGGGGTGGATATTTGCAAAGACTTCAAAATAAAACGTTTTGCCATATTGAGACACAATATAATGTGATATTCTAACCCCTTTAGAGAAATTTAAAAATAAGCTTGAAATATAAGTTGTACCTATGTACAGACATCAGATAAATAATAAATAAAAAAAAGTTAAAATCAATGAAATTCATATTATCCATGTCCCATTTATTAAACTTGGACATGTTTCTTTGCCACTTCGATCTGATAATAAAGGTTAGATAAACCCAAATTATTTGATGTGCAAATAAATGTAAAATGCTTTTAAAAACAGCCTTGCACATGGGGCATCTGTGTTGCCATTGCAATGACTACTTTAGAGGGAATCCCCTTCTCATTTACCCCCAGCCCCCTTAAGGCTAGATCCATATATCAGTTTCCGCGAGCATAATGTACAGTAACTATTATTTGAACCAGCTTCCATACGGCTTGCCATCCAAGTTCTTCCATCTATGCCCGGTACCATTTATTTTTAAGTCCTTCATCGGTTAGGACAGTTTCTACAGGCTTTAGAAATTTTTCTTCAGCAAAGTGAGCTGCAGGTTGATCATGTTTTCAAGATTAAATCCATTACTCCCAAAGTTTTGGACGCATAAAATTTACAGAAGAGTAAGTGGAGCTGTTTTACAATGATAACATGTTTGGTCCAAGTCAGTCTTGATACTTGATGGATTATCCTTTGACCAGTGAAGGTGATGTACGACTTTAACTGTGTAATACCGTGTCTAAGGAAATATTGCCCAAATACAGGCTTTGTGAAAATAATTCCCAAAGCTTGTAGCCGTGGTATGTTCAGTACTCCTAATTGCTCTTGCCATCACTGTTAACACTCTTTTAAGCCAGTCATTTTGCATTATTTAAACATTGTATATCAGATTTTGATTTTAAATATCTTGTCTAGCAGAGAGATAAAAAGTTATACAGGAAAATATTCAGAACTAGAAAAGCTCTCCGAGAGCGCACACTGGAAAAACAATCTAGAAATAAGTAAAAATGTATTAAACTAAATGTAAAATAAGATAATTAGATAATATGCACTTGGAAATAATAATATTTTTTAATTTCATTGGCAAAGTGCCAAAGTCTCTCACTTTCTCAATTCAAGAAGAAAATGCTCCTATTTTAAGAAATAATGACTTATTTAGATTTAAAATTTTTGCAGCATGGACCACCATCAAGCAGCAAATTTTGCCCCATATCGTGACTTGCACTTATGGCTAAAACTTCCCAATGATCCGGATCATTAACAAATGTCAATGAATTGTTCTTGGCTTGAGATGCACATTTGCATTTACAATTTCCTTAAAAAGCCTTTCATAAGTTTTATGAATAGGACATAGCATGTGTCTGCAGCCTCTGGTGCTTGCTCTGCTCTCGTCTTCTTCTTTCACTTTGCTTTCTTCTTTGCTCAGCAGATATGGGCCTTCTAGACTAGTAAGGCTCACCTTTCCTGTGTTTTTGTCTTCAGTACAATACTTAAGGACTTTTTTAAGTTCGATGCTGAAGCTGTCAGTAGTCACTGCTGCCACCCTACTTTATAGTTTAGGGAGGAACTGTTTGTTCTGCCAAATAACATTAAAGAATCCTTTAAAAAAATCCTGCATCCGAATTATAATGTGGATCATCACCAAAATTTATGGACACAGACGGAAAAACAGAAAGGCAGACAAACAAACACATTTGACTAAAAACATAACGTCCTTGGCAGAGTTAATTAAAAGTAACAAAGCAATATCTGAAAAAAAGCTGAAGTTTATGAAAGCAACACAAAAAGAAGAAAATAAAATATCTTTCTACCAATTCTTTAAAGTCGATATTCCAGATTGCTTTGTGTATAATTCAGGGTGTAAACAGGTATATTTTTGTTATCGGGGTAGCAAGCCAAGCTACCCAGTTGTATTAGACAGCAGCTCTATACATCCATTATGATGTTTGTTGCCAAGAAGAGTATAGTAAACATGGAAGGTAGAAGCCACCAATTCACATTAATTTTACATTAATTTAGGATTTATTTCCTTATGCGTAGCTGTTTTCTTAAATTGCATATAAAGAGATATCTTACTTGATGAAAAAGGATTTTGTCAAGAAGATCAGTGAGCGGTTTTCACCCATGATGGATTTTAACTCTAATTTGCCAAACAAAAAAAACACCTTTAACAGATTCTGTTGTATTACGAAGCAGTTTACACTCATTATATCCTGATTATGTTACATTATTTCAGCCCAGCTCTTTCACTGGGGCTATTTAGGGACACCATATCTCATTGTCATGTTTACTTGCTAGTATGGTGTGTTTATTGTGTGGATAAAGGTTAAAAGGCAGATTAAATTCTGAATATTAGTTTAAAAAAAAAAGTGTCTGTATACAGTGTTCTCCCTTTTTGTATTTAATAAAGAATCGCCTTCTGATGAAACCCACTTGGGAAAGAGGTGTATTTAAATGAGACGATTAGTTTCAGCATAATGCAAGAGAATTAAAATTCATAACTCATAAAAGGGCAGCACACCTCTTGACACCACATATATGACTTAAAAGAACACTACCTGTAGCTGATTTTGTATAATGAGGTGCTTTGTTCTGGGGTTCTCTAAAACCAAAGTGAAGGAGTGTGGGTGGGAGTAGAAGGATGTATTAAATTGTGTTTTCTGACTTTCTCTACTTGTCTCTCCTAGGGGAAGGAGGCCCTCCTGACACCACGTTCATCGAAGATGCGGTCCTAGAATTGCTCAAGACTCGCCGCATCCTAAAGTGCTCTTATCCTTATGGGTTCTTTCTAGAACCCAAAAGCACAAAGAAGGAAATCTACGAGCTTATGCAGGTCTCAGAGCCTTCCACTGTAAAATCAGTCTCTGCATGGAATGTTACAGATGGAAGCCAGTTCATAATTGTTCCCACTTAGCTCGTTTAAACTACCACATATCAAGTTTTTGTAAACATGTTGTTTTTTAATTTATGGATCCGTACGGAAACAGAATAAAAACAGAGTTGAAATGTTAAATTGTCATCTTAACACAGCAATTGATGCAGCGCCTTTTCATAAACAGCAGTATCTGTGTATATTTGAAAATATAAAGATGGTTTATCTTCCTGTGAAACCATCTTTCAGCCAGTTTGTCGTTCTTTGTGCTCGTAGACTGACTTGGAGATGGTGACTGAGGACTTGGCACAGAAGGTTAACAGGCCCTACCTGCGAACTCCCCGCCACAAAATCATTCGCGCTGCTTGCCTTGTGCAGCAGAAGAGACAAGAGTTTTTGGCCTCAGTGGCAAGAGGGGTGGCCCCAAATGACTCTCCTGAAGCCCCCAGACGCAGGTAGCATTCAAAAAGGCAGATTGTTAAATGTTCAGAATATCTATGTATGTTTAATTATGTTGGTTGTACATAACTCTTTTACTAACAGATAGTGTTTTCTGTCTTTCACCAACAGTTTTGCAGGTGGAACATGGGACTGGGAATATTTAGGCTTCGCATCACCTGAGGTAAACGATTGTTTAAGATTTCTGTTCTGCTCAAGGAAATACTTGTTTTGCTAAAGAAAACAACACATTTAGCTGAAAATTATTTCACTGTAAAGTACTTGTATATTATTATTTACACTGTTAAATTTCAACTACATTTCCTTCATACATTGTTTGACCATGCTGGCTTGAATAGGAAAGAAGAATAAAACTTAGAGAAGAGCACATAAGTTATTGCAAGTCTGCTGTATGATGCATTAATCATATGAAATATTTACTAGCTGTTTGAGAAAACTATTCACTCTTGCTTTGGTATAAGGTAAACGCATGTAATGAAATAAGAATGTAAAACCAAATGTAAATGAGCTGAGTTGCATGACCTTAATGCTTTATAAAAAAAAACTATGCAGACAGTCAATTTTCTAATACTAGTATAACTTTTATCTTTATCATAAGTTTAGAATTGCTTTGAGGAAAGATTCCTGTTTTTTGGGGGGGTTTCAAAAGCTTTTGTCTTGATAGTAAGAAAGGCAGATAAATGGTGGGTTGGCACTAGCTGAAGTTTGGGGCTTTTGTTGGCTGGTAATTTCATCTCAAGAGGAACCCTCTTCTAAACTCATCTGTTTCATGCCTCAAACTCTAGAGTAACTGCTTTTGCTTTCTAGCTACAGAGCTGCTCAGGTTCCCCACTGTTGCTTGCTTCGAGGTTGCTTTCAGAGCGTGGAATTTTTCTTTCTTTCTGTTCTTGGGGAATCTGTAACAAATTAGTTTTTCTGCATAAAAATAAGAACATTTCGTTGTGGAGGCACATAAAATGCTGGTTAGATCTGTAAGAACGCTTTGATTGCTGCAATTCAAATAAGATATTTTACAGATTTATTTTAGTGCAAGTTTTCCTGTGGGTGAAAAAACAATTCCTTCCAAATAATGCATCAGATTAATGTACTGCAATATTTTTCAGACACTTGATTTTACAGTGATGCTTCTAATTCCATATATTGTGTGGTTACACAGATGACTCAACCCAAAAAAAAATTATTTATTTTATAATTTATTGTAAGTTTGAAGGAGCTTAATTTTTAAAATTGTAACTATATTATCATTACTCTGTTAATTTTACAGTAAAGAACAAGTAATAAATTGCTGATGTAGTTAAACAATGGAGCGTAGACTCACTTATAAAACTAAAACAATCATCTAGACTTTTTATTCCCCCATACATCTTTGAAGTGATAAAAAACCCGAAGCATGCATCTCTGGGTAATTCCACATTATTTACAGTTATTTGTGGTTAAGGCTTAAATTTATAAAAAGAAAGTAATACTTTGTTTATCAGATGTATTGCTCATCTCTACAGTTTGTTCTAGTTTTTACTCATGTGATACATGACAACATTTTCTTTTTAAGTTGTGATGTAATAGGCATGTAAACAAATAATCAATTAAGGACGAATTTTTCGATTAATGGTTAGATTAAAACATTCCATCAGATTAATTGATCACTTCTCCTTAAAGGTATAGAGGATGATCATTTATTTTTGGATGGATCATCAACATCAGTGGTCCTCCTAACTGTCAGTCATTCTGGTTATGCCGTCCTCTTTGTTCATCCCATTAACTATCTTTTTCTGCAAATGCACTCTTTCTCAGGCGTATATCTGTGGTAAACTACGGTTTCAGACAGTCATTGAAGCACACCTTTTTCACCGCGGTTCTCTGAAAACGGCCGAGGGCAGTAAGAAAAAAAGTGTCTAAGAAGTGTATGAGAAGAAAAGAAAAGCCTCAGAAGAGGCAGATATACCCCGGAATGCTTTGCGCAGAGAGCTCTACTCGCAAAGCATTATGGGATTTGCTGTCAGAGCGGCCTACTGTCGACTTATAACAAAGATGGCGCAGGCAACGCACAGTGAAGGAGGAGTTACGTGACCAATGGGGCAGAAAGTAGTCATCATGTGTCCGAACGATCAGTTAACTGAGTTCGCTATAAAGTCCACTATATAGTCCCCGCTCTATATAGTGATGGAGGGATTTAGGGGTAGGGCGGACATTTGGACAAAGTATGCTTGTATGAGCTATGAAAACAGCAACTTTGAAACAGAGCGTGCACTAGGGGTGTAAATCACACCCATCATGGCGATTCGATTCAGTATCGATTTCCTTAACCAACGATTCTATTATTTTCGATACTCAAGAATACACCACGATACGATTCGATTAATTGGTTCATTTTTATTTATTTTTTTAACCTTACAGGCTAGACAATGTTTCAAATTTGAAATAAATCAATGAATGCTGTAATATCGTTATGCATTTTATTTGAGAAACAACCGCAAATAACAGAAGTAGAACAGTTGTACTCCACCTATTCCTATTAAAACCCCATTCACTGAAAAATAATAATACCCCTGCATTAGATTCTGAAAGGCTTTACATCAGGGGTCTTCAACGTTTTCCAGGCCAAAGACCCCCAATCTGATGGCGAGATGGAGCGGTGACCCCCTAATTACATGTATTGTATGAAATTGTGTTCTATCAAAGTGGTCCTATAGTCACTCTATTAAAGATGGAGTAATTTCACCCTGGGATTATTAAAGTATTTCTGATTCTGATTCCTGGTTGATGGGACAGGTGTTGTGAATGAAACGGTGCCCAGCTTGAAAGAGCTCCTGTGTGTCGCTAATGTGTGCATTGATGACTGAAAGACATCTTCTGCCTCCATTTATCCGTTTACTACAGTGTGTGGAATTCATGTTAAGGTGTATTTAAAGACATTTTAATTAGTGCAAAAATTGCAGGAGGGAATATAAAAAAAAAGTAATCAACCAAGACTTTTGCGACCCCCATGCAATACCTCCGTGGACCCCCTAGGGGTCGCGGACTTCCTGTTCAAGACCCCTGCTTTACATCATAAAATACTGTACAAAATCAGTGCAATGACTGCAATTCATAAATTGCATAAATCAAAAATGTCTGTGTCAAGCTTACTGCAACACACTGCTGTAAGAGTATAACTAGGAAGCGCGGTAAGAGGGCAAAATAGGTTTAGCGCCACCGAAGCACGGAAGGGAGAATTACACCCAGGAGCAAAATGGATAAAATAGAACCAGAGGGAACAAAAAAATACATGAATCGATACTCTTGCGGACGTATCGATGCATCGGATCGTCGGCTGTTGGATCGATGCATCGATACAAAACGATTATTATTTACACCCCATGCGTGCACGGGGAGAAATGGGCTCTTCCCTGCTCTCGCACGCGCATTTTCTTTTTAAGTGAAGAGGGCGGGTCTTTTAAAATATTTACAAAAATCCTCAACAATACCTTTAAGAAATTTCTGTAGTGTTGTATCTTTTCTGTTTGTTCTTAAATGTTTTTCACTGGTCTCTGCAAGAGACGTAACGTTAGGGAAGTGCATGCTAGTGGCTTGAAGGATTCTTGAAAAAGGAAGATAAATGTAAAAGACTGAGTTTGTTTTGAGTTTCTCCCATCCACTTGAGGCTAAAATAATACATAACCAGCAAAGTATGAAGCAACCGGAATAAAGATCAGCACCTCCAGGTCCAAGGACATGGTTCTACACTGGATAAAGGTGGCCTTCAGGTCAGAGAAGAGTTCCTGTCTTCAGTGGAGGTGTTGTAGTATCTTAGGGTCCTGTTCATGTAAGAACAAGATCCTTAATACAAGCGGCTGAGATTAACTTTCTCTGTAGGGTGGCTGGGCACTACCTTAGAAAAAGATGAGGAGAGCTGCTTCTCCTCCACATTAGTCAGCTGAGGTGGCTCGGACATCTAGTTTCTGTCTGTTACCACCTGGACGCCTGTGTCCACCCTCAGCTGAAGGTGTTTTATTTTTTTTACAAGGAGAGACTATATTATCTACCTTAAGCCTGTTTTTAAGAACACACTAAAAGTTGTCAATTTTTAGATCCTTAAAAAAAAAGAAATCTTATTAAAATTCCTTTTTTTCCAGTAGAGACACTGTAGCTTAATCAATATCTTTAATGTAGAAGCCGTAAAATAAAAAAAATATATATAATCTGGGACTAATATGTCTATTTTCCTGTATATTACTGTATAGATAAAACAGTAGGAAGGCCCATGACCAGGGATTGCTCTGCTCAAGCAGCTAATAAAGAATTAAAAAAGAAGAAGCCATGTTGTTGCCTTTCATGTCTTATCTGAGCCTCTCTGCAGTAGAAGTGACAGCAGAGTGCTTCCATGAGGAGCCTGAGACATTTTACTCCTTCTCACATGCATCACCGCTCTGCACAGGGACTGTAATCTTGTTTCAGTGGGAGCTGGATTTTGAAAAGTGTCGATCACTTGGGTTGATGTCAGGGTAGAAAAAAAAAGCCTTCTAAATTGGCCTATAACAATGTCACCTCTAACTCGTCTGCCACTGCGTTTCACCTTCTCACAACTCCACCCATATTTCACTTGAAATCGAACAGTAATACACATTTTATATGGTTATAAAACTATTCCTGTCGATATTTAAGATCAATGATGTGATCGTTGTCTTTTAGTAAAGGATACTTTAATCCACTGAGCATCTGAAGCACGTTCAGGAGAAATTATTTAATCAGGCATGGTGCATGAATGAGTGGCTCCTCTTCAGAGGAACAAATTATCCATCTATATGTAGAACAGAAGGTTTTCTCACCTTCTTCCTTTGGTCTCTCATGCTTCTCAATAACAAACAGGGTTGCAGACTTCTTTGTTGTCCGATTATTATGGACTTGTGCTTCTAATAGCGCACAGTAAAGAGCTGCTGTTTCTCGGCTGCTGCAGCTAATTGGAACACTGTGGTAACTAATCAAAGCTGGCTGACACCGCCTCACAGGCGCAGCTACAGATGGGCCGCTCCATGCTTCTTACAATGCCGACACATTACTTCATAGTGGGGCTATTTTTAGACCGGTGGAAACATGAAAGGCAGAATTTGGATGACAGCCTTTTGATTATATATGGATGTGACTCAGTGATTTTTTCTAATGAATGAGGAAATTGACTGAGAAGTCCTCTTGGATCGGTTTTTGAAGTTTGAATATTGTGAACGAAAAAAAAAAAAGCAGGACATGTAACTTATTCATGAGAACACTTACTCGTTAGGAGAGGATTCTGACAGCTGCACTGAACGTCTCATTATTTAATGCTTGACCATGTAACAAATTCCAGAAATCAGCTTTGACTCCAAACTAACATCTTTCTGAGTTTTCTAGGAAGGCAAATCAATATTGTTTTTTTCCTTACTTCGGATTACTTGATGCCAATGATCAGAAATGTTGTCAGCTAGAACTATAAACGTTGTGAGTCAGCTTTTTAATTTTTACTAAGGAACCTTTGATGTCCTGGTTCTCCACTTTTTTGTTCCATCTTGTAAAACTAACCCTAATTACAGATCTCTGATTGCAGCATATGTCCAACATCAACCTCGAGTTTCTCTTCCAGTTGTTCATTTACCATCATTAAAACCTTTAGAACTTCAGATGGTTTAGGATGAACATTATTACTCACTATTAGTGGTCATTTTTAGCTTTTTGGTTGCCATTTAATAAATCAGTAATTTTAAAGACCCCATTTTTTTTCTCCTGCTGTATCTATGCTGTATAACAAATCTACTGATACCAATTATGAGCTGTTAGAGTTTCTACCATTATCACATTAAAACACATTAAAACTGTGCATTTGCAGTAAAAGATTTCTTAATTGATTCTGCATGAACTTTTACGCTCCAGTGAGTGGTACATTCATTAGAATCCTAATACAGCATGTTTTTTGCTATAATAATGATATGCTGCAACGTCTCCCTATGTAATAAAAGAAATGCTGTATTTAAAAACTGCTTATTGGCTAATTGAACATAGGGTGCTACATTATTTCTCATTAGAAATGAATCTGTAATGAGAGTCAAAGAACCTTTAACATGAATTGAAAGGCTGGTTATTCACTTTATTGCTGTGTCATGTATCTGTCAAAAACATAAACACTAGCAGGCGTTACCCTCACATGTGAGACGAATTGGCTTTGAACAAGTAAAACTTTTTACTTGGTGTTTGAATTTTTAATTTGTTGTTTGATTTGCAGAATTTAGTAACTGGGGACTTCTAGTGATCAAGTATTTTACTTGGTCTAGCTTACTGAAAAACATTACGATATATGTTACTGAATGAATCAGAGAGGTTATTTATGACTTGTCCTTTTATATCAATAATAAATCCTACTTTGGTCAGTTGTTCTTCTTTAATAGTGACTCCTGTTCTTGTTTAAAGGAATATGCAGAGTTTCAGTACAGGAGGAGACATCGGCAACGAAGGAGAGGGGACATGTCCAGTGTCCGAAGCAACACACCCGACCCTGATGAGCTCAGCGACACCATTTTAGGTACTGCAACTGTTTCCTTTCTCTCCTCTCTGTTATTTCATGTGAGAAACATCTGTCAACAAGCAGCTGTATTTGTTTTCTGGTTCTGTCTTTATATAAAGAGTGTTTTTCTGCTCTTTTTAGTTTAAGAGGAATGTTTTCGTGTTGCGGCTGTCACAATTTCACCCATTTCAATTAAAACTCCAGTTCCATCTGAACAAAGTAATCCCAAAGCTGGATGCTGTCCCTGTTAACCCTCTGATCAACCATTTTGTGTTCTTCCTGCAAACGTTTTTCCTCATACATTACTTCATGTGGAAGCGGTCTAGTTTGGTCTCAATCTCTCTTTAACGTCATTCTTTTGGACCAACTATTCTTCGAAAAACTTTTCTGCTACATGGAAGATAATAATACTTCAGCTTTAAAAGATAAACTATTTATCTTTTAAAGCCTAGTATTTTAAATCAGGCACTTTTGTCCATTACATTTCTTTTAGCAGTGCATAGTCGATTTGCCATTTCAGAAACCTGCAAAGTGCCTCTGCCATGCCAAGGACAACTTATTCATTTTGGTTAAAAACACCTAATTAGTGAATTGTCTGTGCAAACTCTGAAGGTCAGTGGTCTGCCAGGTGTTTGCAGCCATGTGCTCTACTCTAGGAATTGAGTACTTGTAATAAAGGGTAATGAAATAAACTGCTTTGCAGCTGCAAATGTAGAGTCAACCTAATGACTGTAATTTTCACTCTCATGTGTTTTCTTTTCTTTTTTTTTTTTATAAATCTATTACCAACAAAAGAAGCTCAGGATGTAGGAGGTGGTCGCAGACCTGCTCATTTGATGGTGAGTGCCTATGGAACAGTGTTCATATGAGCTTTTTGGATGAGAAAACTGTTTAGCTTGAATAATATTTTTCTTATCAGGTGGCATATCTCTCTTTATGGTTTTAACGATAATATTATGCCAAGCTACATAAATGCAATATTTGTAATTCACAAATAAAAACTAAAGGAACATGTTAAGAGATAAACACATGATAACTTCTGGTTTAATCAGGAAGTCATTTTTTAAGGTTGCCTTTTTCACATTTCGCTCTTGCAGGGCCTTGACTCCCTGGATGAGGACGACCCTAACATTTTACTGGCCATCCAGCTGTCACTCCAAGAATCAAGGATGGCAGAGATCGGCGCCAACCACGATTTCCTCGCCAATGAAGCCTCACTTGGCGCAATTGGCACTTCCCTGCCTTCCAGGCTTGAGCAGAGCTCTCCGGGTGTCGAGGTCCTCCCAAGAGCTTCTCTGAGCAGCTCAGAGCTGCTGGAGCGAGGAGATAACGTGCCGAGGCTGGGCAACATCAGCAGCCAGTACTCTACAAGCCCCGGCGGCCCCACCTCTGTGAAATACTGTGACATTGACCGCCGGGTGCAGAAACCAGCCGCCCTTGGTGGCAGCAGCTCCTCCACCGGCTTCTTCTCTTCCTCCACCGATGTGACAGACTCCACCACATGTGGCAGTAGCGACCCATCGTCATCTGCCTTGCCAACCAATGCCAATCTGCTTGGAAACATTATGGCTTGGTTTCACGATATAAATCCACAGGGTATCACTCTGGTTCCGCCATCCTCCTCAAACGACGACTCCGACGTGGGTCCGCTTCAGGAAGGCAGGGATGGACACCCGCAGGACGAGGAGAGGGCTGGTTTTAGCGTCTTCGCTGATGGTGGAAAACCTCAGGAGGCAGATGTAGGTTTCTCCACTCAGAGGTCAAGCGACATGGAGGAGAACAGCTGTGCTGTCGCCGAGAGGCCAACTCAGTTAGATCTGGTGGGGTTGGACGCCACCCAGCTGCCTTACATGGCAGAGCCTGATAGTAGTGGAGAGCATGCCGAGTGCACCGACTCAAAGGCCAGCCATGTTGACAGTCCACGCTCCGACTATGCCTCTGACCAGCTGCCCAGCACCAGCTCCTCTGAGTGGGAGGACCACTCACACTTGTTTTGATTTGCTTGGCTGGAATTGGAAGGTTTACTGAAGGCCAAAACCACTACAGACAGGAAAGCAGTTTCTAGAAGCTGCTTGTGTGGAATGTATTAAGAATGAAGAATGTGTTGGTTTTACAGCCATAGTGGGGAAAAAATAAATCAGTTAAGTTTAAGTGCAGGAACTTTAAGCCAGCAGTAAAATCAGATCTTAGATTTCCTTTTTTAGTATTGTGAGCACACTGCAATAAAATAAATAAAAGGAAGAACTTAGAAATTTCAATTAGGATGCAGCCTGATGGAGGGGGGAAAAAAAACTGAATCTCCTTCCTAGATTCAAGTGGAATGGAGTTAAAATATCTAGCAGGCGTTTTCTACTGGAGTATAGCCTACTGTATGACTGAATCAGGTGTTAAAGAGCAAATTTATACATTGCTATTGTATTCAAACAATTTCTATAGAAGGTTCTTAATGCTGTTCATATCAGCTTACTTTACAGGGTGCCAAACAGATTTAAAAGCACAGTTTGTCGTCACCAAGTGGATTCTTTTAAGCAAATTGTGCCTGATTACCACAATCTCTGAAAACCTGCATGTCCAGAGCCATACTTTTTTTTGCTTTGAAGTTGTGGCTCCATGTTATTTTCAAATCCCACTCACTAAAAGCTGTTGCGTGCTGTGTAAAATTGAATAGTGTTAACACTGCAGTGGTTTCAGACATTATGTGAAAGTCGCTTTCAAGAGAGGAAAAGGTTATTTGTTCAACTGAAAAGCAGGTGGCCTGCTCAAAAAAAAGAATGGATTTGACAATAGTTATTCATCTCTAAGAGCTTCAGTCTGAATAGGAAGTGTCCTCACAGCTAAAAAAGAAGAATACGCTGACAGATCCCGCGGGGGCCGCCCTGGTGGAATCAGCTCCCACATTTGGAACTGAATAATTTGTAGCTCATGTGAAAACCTTTGAGCTGAATGTTTAATGTGAAAAACATGAGAGACTTTGTTTGTATGCAGCAGGCAGGGTCAGCCAATAAGAAAACCAGGCAATCACTTCCAGTCCTATTTTCTTTAATTATTACAGCTTGAGTTGTGTATAGTGGATTCAACTCTGCAGGGGAGTGCATGAAGACATCCTCGAAGTGTGAAAGGGGAGTTGATGTTTTTGAAGCAGTTTTCAGTGAAACTGCAGATTTAGTGCCTTTGTGTCAGTCTTCATGATTCACTTCTTTTTCCACCGTTTTTCCGGGTGCCATTTGCACAGACTAAAACACCTGTTACCTTAAAGAAGCGTCTCTGTTATAGCATTTAGTGGTCAAACACAAACATTTTGTTGTTTTTTTATTAATCCAGACATTTTGTAGCATGTGCATTTTGGTTTGTTCACATCATAATGCATCGATGAACAAAACTGATAGTTTAATGGTTTAATAAAAAATGTTACTGTTCTATTGTTAGTATTATATTTAGAAGGGCTCTCCGCCCTGGATTTCCAAACGGTTTTTCTTAAAAAAAAAAAAAAAGGCAAATCATTTATTTCCATAAAGTTTGTCGACAGTGTTTGTATCATGTATCTGAAGACGAATTGAAAAAGAATATAACGTAGGTATTTCTGCTTCTATTAATAACTTGTGAATAATGGGATGAAAAACAATCATGTTTGACCTTCCAGAATACATTTTATGTACAGACTCATGTCTGATTCCAGTAAATTAACTTTATAAAAGTTGATGCGTGGTGCAACACTAAATCTAACAGCAGTTATTGCTTAAGTATTCAGATTGTCAGTGCCATATAGATAACAGATATATGATGGTTGGGAGTGTCCCAATCAAAGAGGACGTGTTTCTCTGTGTAATGAGTGCAATTAAAGGAGGTTCTACTTACGTTTCACCTCTAATCGCTTGGTCTATTTTAAGAAATGATAACTTTTTAAACTCATTAAGTTTTTCTATTGTAAAGCAACTAGTTCTTAAAATGTTGTTTGCACTTTCATAGTCTATACTTGATACATTCCCTCTTTATATGAAAACTGTTTGGTGTGTGATGCCAATAAACTGTGCTGATTTTTACGGTGATGTGTGGTTATTTCTAAAAAGCACTTTCTTTGAATAGTTCACAGGTGTTTGTTTTAATCTGTTTAGCTTCCACTTCCACTTTTTAAAGGGCAAACGTATTTTTCTCCCCTTGGAAAAAAGGTTCTGCCTTTGCATTTTTATTCAAAGCAGACAAGTTATTTTAAATGACTTTTCTGACATAAAGAGCCTTTTGAGTCCTGCTCCACTAAAACACGAAGGAACTACAGGATGTGGTTGATGACCTGTCACCTAGAAGCACATGAGGTGACAGCCTATTGTTGCAAACTCAAACAGATTATCTTGACAAATAAAGGACCTTTCAAAAGGAGACATGTCAAACTGCCACCACTTTCTGAATGGATTGAGTACTGTTACTTTCCCTGAAATTCCTGTTTGGGGAGATTTCTGGGAGTAAAGCGAGCGCTGTTATGAAACCTAAGATTGCACAGATGGACGGAACTACCTAAGGGGGGCATGTCTGCAGATGCCACACTGCTCTTGTAGAGTCAGCATTCAGACTGTGAAAATCAGGTGGATGCTGTTTGGAAGAAGTCATAAATGTGTTAAAATCACCTGAAACGATTTCTATTTTTTTGGGTTCAAAATATAAAAAAAATATACAAAGAAAGTCCTTTGATCCAAAACAAAAGCAAACTTTTTTTTTATTTTGGATGTTCTTTGCTTTCAAGCAAACTATAACTTGTTACAAAGCATACATTGTGATCGTTGCTCCAGAAATCACTACTATAGAGCTATTCTGTACAGCTTTAAGTCACAATTTTCACGATATTTGGAACATCGTTGGAGAATATAAAGCATGCTGACAGCTGTGCTGCTAAGCAACAGATGGCGGATCAGGGGACTTTTTGAAAAGCATCCATAAAAGTGTGCGCCCAAAAACATCAAATTTATAAACCATGCAGATGCAAAATTTCAAGCAATTTCCTTTTTATAAATGTACAACTCTACATCAAAGTCTGCACCAAGCTCTACCTCATGCTTAGCTGTCTAAATGCCCACGTTTAAGCATCAATGGGGACCATGGAGCAGGCTGAACAGAAACAGGCAACAAAGGATTCGGAATGCCAATCCCACGCCATCCCTGTTAACCACAGGTGGTAAACAAAAGGGTCAGTCTACATAACTCCATTAAACAAAAAAGGTGGAAGAGTAGCTGGTTGAATAAATAAATACAACCAACACTTAATGGTTCATTTAGATTTAAAATTATTATTCATAATTCATAGATATACATGCATTCTATATTCAATAGGGGTTGAAAATCTGCAGAGATCTGGCATCTATATACACTCACCGGCCACTTTATTAGGTACACCTGTCCAACTGCTCGTTAACACTTTATTTCTCAGCAGCCAATCACACGGCGGCAACTCAGTGCATTTAGGCATGTAGACATGGTCAAGACAATCTCCTGCAGTTCAAACCGAGCATCAGTATGGGGAAGAAAGGTGATTTGAGTGACTTTGAATGTGGCATGATTGTTGGTGCCAGAAGGGCTGGTCTGAGTATTTCAGAAACTGCTGATCTACTATGATTTTCATGCACAACCATCTCTAGGGTTTACAGAGAATGGTCCAAAAAAGAAAAAATATCCAGTGAGCGGCAGTTCTGTGGGTGGAAATGCCTTGTTGATGCCAGAGGTCAGAGGAGAATGGCCAGACTGGTTCGAGCTGATAGAAGGGCAACATTGACCCAAATAACCACCCGTTACAACCAAGGTGGGCAGAAGAGCATCTCTGAACGCACAGTACATCGAACTTTGAGGCAGATGGGCTACAGCACCAGATTCGCATCATGGATGTGCAGCCGACAAATCTGCGGCAACTGTATGATGCCATCATGTCAATATGGACCAAACTCCCAGAGGAATGCTTCCAGCACCTTGTTGAATTTATGCCACGAGTAATTGAGGCTATTCTGAAGGCAAAAGGGGGTCCAACCCGTTTCTAGCATGGAGTACCTAATAAAGGTGCCGGTGAGTGTAACTCATTTTGCTTCTTTTCTTTTTTAAAGTCATTTAACATGAATTTGTTTTCATGAAATAACCCCATCTGCTCTGTGTTTGGACAAAGTATTTATGTAACTTTTATTTAGAGAACAGTGATGGGATCAGACTTTTTTTTAAATAACAGTTTTATATTACTGATCACTTTATATTACTGTTTTTTAGATGCACACAAGGACAAATAATAATTCAACCACAATAATAGATATTCCAAAACTCAATTTTAAACAATTTTATATGTTTTATTCATATGAAGCAGGTAATTTATGAGAGATTAGGAACTATCTATAGCTATAATCAGCTGATGCAGAAGTATTTGCCCTTATAAAGTCTTACTGGTAGCTTGGTGGTCAGCTTATCCAGATTTTCCTTTTTTTTTTAAGTGTTTATTAATTAATTACAGCTGTTAACCATCCTGTGGTGTCTAGCTCTTGTGAGAGTGAATTCCCCCATGGTGATTAAACATAATTAACAAGTTAATAACGTTCTGCCTGAAGCAACTTCTAGAAACAGAATAGTTCTGTGAATTTAAACATAAAGCTGAGATATCCCAGCCAGAACAAAGCACACTACTGCCTGCTGACTTGGATGTTATCGTTAATAGTCCATGAGTCAGACGCTGTTGCCTTTAATTATACTGCCTTTTATTTGCCATGCCTCTACTATGGCTACCAAACATATCTATTTCTGCCCAGGTTAAACAGTTTTTTTCACCCTCTTGGCAGCGGTTGCCTTTGTTGACCATGAAATTACACTGACCAGCTGGCTCATTTACTGTAAATACACAATGAGGTGCATTTGGTGCTTTGCACCATTCATGGTTAAATATGGGAGAGTAGTGAGATGAGCATGAGTTGGAGCCCTGTGAGCACAGCTGTGATAAATTAACAACCTTATCTTGTTTTTGGGTGCATGGTTTAATACGGTAAATGGAAAGTATCTTTTGAGTTTGCCTGTTTTTGTCTTTTTGGCATTTTCAAACTTCTAGTATAGATCCCACACGATCTTTGATAAATTAAACCCCCTAAAATTAGCTTAAAACGTGAAACGTAAGCATTAGGCTCCATTTCACAGTAACAACTTTTTATAATGAGACCCATAAGTATGAATTCAGTGCTATATTTACTGTTACATGGGCTAAAGTCATAAGAGCACCTGAGTCTGTTTGGAAGCGGACCGAAACCACTTCAAATAGGGCGTCTCTTTTTATCCTTACCAGAGTTCACCTGAGTTCAGATAAATTAGTAAAACATATTGGGTCCATTTAAAGTGGATCAAACAATAAAGGGGTTAATGCACCTTAAATTGAGGTGTAGGCAGCTATAAAATGGCATCAAGTCTAAAGTCTCAGGACCGTACTGTAGTCTTCATGCAGCATTCCCAGGTTCAAATCCTCACCTGCAGCATGTCCTGACATCTCTTTCCACTTCTTTTCCTGTCTATTGTCAAATAAAGGACTTTCATTTAATATTAGTGACTTTTATTACAATTCACTAGTGCCACACAGACTGCTGAGAGGTGCACTGCAAATGTGAATGACTGTCTTTGTGGAATGTGGAATGCAGCTGATATCTGACTTCCTCTCAAAATCAAAGTTTTTCCAGGAATATGATTTTTCTTTCAGCGACTTTTTGAGATCATTATTATTGAAGTACAGGGAAATCCTCAAAGGTATATTATAGCAGTTATGTTTAGTAAAAAGAAACTCTCAGCAGCTTCCATTCAGTTTTCTAAGGCAGGGGAGTCAAAGTGGTTCCAGAAAGGGCCGTGTGGCTGCACATCAGACTCCAGTCACCTCATCAAGTCATCATGTTCAGATTGGACTCACTTGATGAGATGACTGGAGTCTGGGTTGCTATTGCTTTGTTGGAAAGAAAACCTGCAGCCACGTGACGTGGCCCTTTCTGGAACCACTTTGACACCCTTTTAAGGCGTTAACATGAAGCAGATGTATGATATATTCTGCATTAATGTCAGTATCGGCCACAGTTGGTCATTTTTAAGCATATTGTGAAAACTAGTCCAAGATAATAACTGATACTTGTTTTTTATGCGTCAGCTATTTTGGTTTCGGGTGTGTTTGTAAGTGGTGAATGGCCTGTACTTATGTAGTGCTTTTTCAAGTCAGGCGACTCGACTGAAGCGTCATTCACCCATTCATGCACACACTGATGGTGGCAAGCTACATTGTAGCCAAAACTGCCCTGGGGCTCAATGACAGAACGAGGCTGAAATACACTGGCGCCACTGAAGCTCTGACCACAATCAGTGGACAATGCAGGTGTCCTGCCCAAGTACACAACGACACTGAAAGCCAGAGCTGGTGTAGGTACTAGATTGGGACCTCTGGTTGCAGGATAAACTCCTGCATCCGACGCCATTGTCATTTGTGTGTGTCAGGATTGTGGGAGTTTAACTGAAACAATGTCAGTTTTTTTCTCAGATGCCTTTTGCTCGGTCTCACTTTTTATTGTACATATTTTTAAATTCTATCATGGTTATATGACAATACAAGCCCCATTATAACTTCAAATAAAACAATTTTAAAAAGATTCTTTAAAAAAAAAAGCATTAAATTTAATTTTTTTGACACATTGATTAACAAGCAAGTTGATAACAAACACAAAAGAACAATGAAAGTTTTTTTTAAAGTGATTAAAAGCCTCAAGGATATTTCAACATCCTGATGCACTAAAATTGTTTTGTTTTGAATTTACTGCTGATGTTTGTATATAGCTGCAACATGCCTGGAGAATAAAAATACTCTCATAAAAACAATTATTTTTTACTGTTCTTTAAATAAGCTTGAGAATAATCAGATTCAATTGCAGCAGTTAATGATTTGTAGCAGGAGAAGAAATAAGTTGACAATGTCCAAGTAGAGGCTGAGGGCAGCATAGATGTACTCCTCAGGAGATATTTCGTACTTCCGGTGTTTCCCCCCCAGAATCAACTGAGTATCAAGCAGCAAGTACTGCAGAGAGACAGAGAAACAAATAACTGTACCACCCCTGACATCTGAAGGCAGCATGCTTTTTTATGATGAAAGAGAAAAGGACAGTTATTAGCTGGGCTCTAAAAACAAACACAGGCTTTTATTTTCCCAGAGATGCTACTGTGCATATAAACAACAGACATAGAAATTATTTTTCAGCGTGAGCAGTGCAGTTGAAAATAACTTGTGACTTGCTGTTGACAGCCTGTTCAGCTCTGCATGCAGGTTGCAGTTTGTTCCGCTAGCTGACGGATGGGTCACAACATTTGCTGTTAATGCCAAAAGCACTTAGGAGACGTAGCCGTACAAATGAAGCCCACTGCTGTTATCGAGTGCATAATTGAAATTAAAGGGCAGGGAGACGTGTGAGTTACATCAAGGACTGTGACAAACACTAGTGGCAGCATGCATGGCCTGTGGGATCAAAGCTGAGCCACATGCATTTGCTTGACTTTAAAACTTCTTTGATGTTGGTTTCTTTCTCTTTTTTTAAAGCATGTTTTCATATGATTTTTTTGATCCTGATTGCTGCAGACAAGCTCTTACTTTCACAGGGGTTTGAGTGTACTTACGAAAGAAAACAGCACAGTTCCCAGGTAGGCGTAGAAGATGTAGAGATACTGAAGAAAGAATCAGAGGTATAATAAGCAGAGGTTTGATATGAAAAATGTCTTATAATTATTAATTCCACAAATGAGTCTAACACATTTCAAATTTTATTTCAGATTTTTTTTCTGTTTCCTGGTGGTGTCTGGGAGACATCTTTTATTTTTGAACATTAAATTCTGAAATCTTTCTAAATGAAATCACCTCCACTCAGATCCATGCAAAATGGTTTTTTTTATTTATGCTGATCTTCTTGCACCGCCTGACAGATTAAATGGGCAGCAATGTCTTGGTTGTTCAGTTCATTCGGAAACTTCATTTGGAAATTGCACAGTGCTTTAGAAGATCTTTTAAGCTTGTCTTGATGAAATAAAAACCAACAATGGTCACAGAAATAGCTTGAATCTGACAAAAGTAATAATGTCAAAAAATTCTACTAAATTGAACAAATTAAAGTAAGACATTGCTTTTAAACTGTTGTTACTAATGTTACTTTAGGGCCGCGGTTCTCAAAGTGTGTGGCGCGACCCACTGGTGGGGAATTGAGACGTGACAGGTGGGGCGCGCCAAGTTCCGGTGTGTGTGTGTGTGTGTGTGTGTGACTATAAATGTAGAATGTGTGAGAGCAAACTGTCCTTATAGCTGTATGTTGCCGCTTTTTAGACCAATCAAACCCACAAAGTAATCATTACTAGCCTACATGCAGTCTAATTAAAAGAACATTAGATATGAGAAAAATTTCCCCTGGAACTGAAGTGCCAAAATAATGATTGACGTGACGTCGGCATATTATTTGTAACAGAATAAACTTTCGCGCCCCAGTGTTGCCAACTCAGCGACTTTGTCGCTATATTTCAGACCCCTCCAGCGACTCTTTTTCAAAAAAACAAATCTAGCGCCTTTTGGAGACTCTTACGTGAAAGCACGTATCGTTCCTTTTCTTGTCCTCCAGCGGCAGGTGCTGCCGTGGGGCGCCTCCCCCGTCCCAACCCCGTTCTCCCCCGCTATTGCAGGAGTCCCTATCAGCGCTGCAGTCAGAGCAGAGACACAGCATGTTTAACTTTTGCGTCCAGACTGCAAATAAAGCGCACATGCGCCGGGATTGACGGCGCAGGTTGATCATAAATAACTGAATTTGAAATATTTTATCTTAAATAAATAACGGCGTTTGATTCACACAGCCACATGTTCATGTTTCTGGTTAGGAGTGGAGAGCGAGTATCCACTCATCGGGCAGAGAGCTGTGTGCATTCTTCTTCCCTTTGCCACATCATATCTCTGTGAGATGGGCTTTTCAGCTGCTGCTTCAATGAAAACAAAATACAGATCTCAGCAGAACATTGAGCATGACTTGAGAGTGGCAGTATCAAGCCTGCAACCCCGTTTTGAGAAACTGCAATGCAAAACAGGCTCATTGCAGCCACTAATGCAGGGATAAACTGTCTTGCCAGATGGATTTCACTTCTTTTCTTTTATTAACAGATTGCAGAGTGGCACTTTAATTTTTTCTATCTTTGAGCTTGATACAAATTTTGACACAGCTGCATTTTTATTTTCTTTATTTTTGAGCTTGCTGTTATTTGATGTAGATTTGTATTTAGATACTACTTGTTACTTCAATAAAATTGGAAAATTTTAAGATTGTTGAATATTTCATTAGCATTGTGTTGGGGCGATGGGGACAGGCGGGGCTTGAAAATTCCCCCTTGTCCAAAGTGGGGAATGACAGAAAAAGTTTGAGAACCACTGCTTTAGGGTGTGTCCAGTAATTAGCATCACGTGTATCTAAAATCTTGTAAACAGTCAGCGGGCCTTTATAGACACTATGGTGCTACAGGGTACTGTATTCACTGGGCTGTTTGGTGACATGGTGTGTACCACACTCAACATGGATAAAAGGGAGTGAAGAAAAAAAGTTCTAGACAACCATATTAATGGTAAAATCTATAAGACCATCTCCAAGTAGCTTTGTGTTCTTGTGACTACATATATTATTTAGAAATCTAAGGCCAACCTCCAAAGGGGAAAAACAGAGGACAATCAATGAGAAAGATTATATGAATCTTGACAAAAGAACCCAGAAAAACTCCTAAAGAGATTAAAGTTGAAATTCATGCTCAAGGAACATCAAGGTCAGATCGCAACATTGCCTGAGCCCAAGTGGATTTAAAGGGAGACAACCGAGGAGGAAACCATTGTTGGAAACAAATCATAAAAAAGCCAAACTATCATTTGCCAAACCATATGTTGGCAGGTCAAAATCTGCTGGGAGATTGGCCATTGGAGAGCTGGACATAAATTGAATCTTTTGCACAGGTACATCCGCACTATGTTCACAGATGGAAAAATGACGAATACTGTCCCTAATTTGAAACATGGAAGAGGCTCTGCTCTGTTCTGGGGCTGCTTTGTTTAATCTGGTATCTAGATTATCAAGAGATTCTAGAGAGGAAATGTGCTGCCCAGTTTAAGAAAGCTTGGCCTTTGTTGCACGTCATGGTTCTTGCAATGGGATAATGACCCAAAACACACACTTAATAACACCCAAGAATGGCTAAGAGGAAAATATTTGACTATTCCAAAGTGGCTTTCTATGACACAAAGCTTGTCTCCTCTTTTGGCAAAAAATTCAAATCAGAGAGGCATTATTAATGGAAGGCCACGCAGGCCGCAGGAATCAGAACCTTCTGGCTGCCAAAACTTAAATGGGCCTGTTGGTAACATGAAAAACAAACACTTCTACAACTTTTTTCAGCCGGCAGCTGGAAGTGTTGAGCAGCTGTAATGATTTTAGTTTTTCTGCTACAACACTAAAATGCTAAGCTGTCCTAAAGCCTCTTTCCATCTCCCCTTTTCAAAGAGGAGGTCAACAGAGGTCACAAGTCTGCAGAGATGGCAAAAGTACTCACTTTCCGTACTTGAGTAAAAGTACAGATACTTGTATTAAAATATACTCTGGTAAAAGTGGAAGTACTGATTAAACTTCTTTACTCAAGTAAAAGTAACAAAGTACAGGCTTGTAAATTTACTTAAAGTATAAAAGTAAAAGTAGAAACCACTTTTTTCATGCCGTTGCCTACATTTTAAATGGATGTCTGCCAATAGGACTAGATCTCTGTTGTGTTAATTTTCAATCATCTCGTCGTCCATGCTACTATGCTAACGCCACCAAGCTGCAATGATTTGCCGCGAATGAATACCGCCGAATCTGTCGATTCATCTTGTAGTGGTGTGTCAAATGCAATGTAGATTCCCATCCAATTAGATTTAATTTGTTATTGATGACGTGAAAAATAATAACGGTAACTCCATTGAAATGATTCAAAACTAAAGTAACGAGCCAATTTTTTTAAATGTAAGGAGTAGAAAGTACAGATATTTGTGTAAAAATGTAAGGAGTAGAAGTAAAAAGTCGCCATAAAAATAAGTAGTAAAGTAAAGTAAAAATATCAGAAAAATCTACTTGAGTACAGTAACAAAGTATTTGTACTTCGTTACTTCCCATCTCTGCAAGTCTGGCACAGTTTGGGGAAGCATGAAAAGCTAAACAACTTGGGTTTTTCATGATTATTGATCATGTGTTTACTGTCCTGTAAAGCATGATAAAAAGAAGCTAATGGTGATATAACATTTGTCTGCCAAAATATGACCAAGAGAGTGCTTTTAAACAGGTTAGCTGCTAGATCCATTATGTTAATTACCAAACCTAGCTAAAGCAGCTAAAAGGGTTACATCCTCTGATGATTGGGAGACAATAAAGGTATATGGAGGATGTTCTTTTTCCAGGTGGATCATCTAAATAAATGTAGCCTAAAGAATTGTGCTCGTGCATGCTCTTGCATGCTCGTGTATGCTCTTGCACGCGTTTAATAGGCGTTCCCTCTCAGGATAGGGTTCAGGGTTGTGCATGTTTTTATTACATTTTTTAATTGGAGATGGTGGGTCCTTTCAAAAATTCATGAAAATCCTCTATCTATATACCTTTAAGCTAATAATCAAAATATCTAAAGGTTATTGAGTTCTGATCTTTTTCTAAAATTTTACTTTACCAAATAATTTCTTTTTTACCTCCTTGGATTTGTATTGTAAATTGGTTTGAAAAGTTTCCAATTGCTCTAAATTAAAGAAATTTGACCTCATTCCAAACTGTGATATAACAGCATTATTTCATTGATTGTGGTTTTCAATCATTTTCATTTCTTGTTCTTTGTGTACAAATTAAATTAGTTCATAGTTCAGTTGAGTTTCACTACTTTAGTGAAAAGCATGTGACTGAAATACGTTTGACTTGATATTTTAAATGGATATTGTTGTGAATTTATTTCTCATGTCTGCAGATTTAGCTGTTGGACCAGAATTTCATCTCAATCCACACTTTGATTTGTAGTTAAAGAAACAGCCAGTTGGATGTGTGTACACAGAACAATATAACAGTCTGAATATTATCTGATTAAATAACCGCCTGCGCCTGGGTAGGCATTGAACATACAGTTATTACATAACTAGTCTCATTGACAGTTACAGGAAACCTTTGATTGCAGTAGCAGTTAAATTAGCAGAACAATTAAGAACTATAAAACATTTCTAATTTTAAAGTATACTCCACAACATTTCTTAATTAAAATTATGCATAAATCCAGCATTGTTTACCTGTGATCGGATGATGGCACACATCATTAAGAAGGACAATAAGGAACAGGCAAACATCCACATGCACCCAGCTTTAGGGGTGAAGTCCCACTGATGAAAGAAAAGAAGGAAAGGCAAAAGGAAAAATTATCCTGTAAAGCAGCTCTCTCTCATAAAGAAAATAAATAAAAAAATGCAAACTGTGCAAAGGAATGCCTTCATTTATCGTGAAGGCCATCTGCATTGCAGTGAAGCTAGGGGGCTCTGCAGAGAGTGAAATGACAAAGACATACTGGAGTTTCACATAAAAAGAACATCCTAATAGTTCTGGATATAATTGTCCAGAGCAATTAATCAACCCGGTGCAGCAGAGGCACAGAGGAGGAGAGTAGATATGGCCTTCTGGCCTGTGTGCCCTTTTCAAATGGACAGGAAAAAGATGGCGCTGTAGGAGAACACTGATCACCCGAGGAGCTATGAGCTGAACATGCGAGGTGGCCTGTTTGACATTTATGTTGCAGTGACAGAGATCATAAGGCTTCTTGCAGAGTGTGAACTGGAGAGCAAGAGGTGTTAGAACTGCACATTGAATGACCAGTTGTTAAACTTAAGTGGTTGTGACTGTGACCACTCCCTCTGCCAATATAGCCCGAACGGGGCGGTCACTTTTTACAACATAGTGTTTCTCCTCATTTAGATCTTCATTGTTTTATTCTAAACAGTAGCCGATAACATTTAAAGCACATTACAACCGACTTTTAGAGCCATAATTACAGACGTTCACATTTTTATTTCAAAAATTTGGAGCTCCTATTATAGAACATAAAATGCCAAAATGCATTTGGATGGAATCACTGGGCCTTTAAATATAAGTAGAATGCAAATAATTCATACCCAAGCTATTATTTCTGTACTAAAGTCTTCATAATTACCTGTTTTTTTGTTGTTTTTTTAGTTGGCCAATGCCTGAACCAAGCTATAATTTTAATTACTTTTGAAAAAGTGTTAACCCCAGCTGCACAACATTGAATGCCCCAAATGGTGAGGCTTCTGCTCTTTAACCAAGTTACTATTCCTAGAAAGGGTGTTATAAATAGTAATAGCTATAATCCTTATTATCCAGTCAACAATACACTAGATTTATTGTTGACTGATTAGTCCACATTTCCACCAATACATGTAGTCAGTTGAAGTGTTTAGAAATAAACAAGTTTTACATAAAATCACTAAATATTTCTGCTCTGGTTTAAAGATGAAGCTACAGTATAAAGACTATATAACAGAGTATGAAAGGTTATGGGGTGTCTTTTCTTCCATTATGTCATGATCTTGTCACTTATCACTTCCTTAATTATTCATTCCATTGACCTGTCTAACTTTGCCAGGTTTCTTATCACTGCTCATCTGATCCACCTGTTCCTGCCTCTATTTAAAGAGCTTGCATCCAGTTATCAGCGCCAGATTATTCTCGTTCTCTCAAGCCAGTGGTAAGAGTGTTTTTAGAGTTTCTTTGTGTTTCTGATTTTCTGATCCTTACCTGTTCCGCCTCTCAACCATTGAGCCTGCCTGTTCTCATCTGACCTCAGTGATGAGAAGATTTTTAGCCTACCTGAGTGCTTCTTATTACCTGATACTGAGCTGATCTGCCTTTCAACCACTGAACCTGTCTGTTCCCATCTAAATGGTTTGCCTTAGCTGGCTTCGGACTAATGCCTGTTCTCCGGGGCTGCAGCATCTGAGATATTCGTTGGCAGCCCACCAGCTGCATCCTACCTTCAGCTGACACAGGCTGAACCGTTAAACCAGATAAATGCCCTGGCTGCTGCTACTCAGATCCGTGTTTTAATTAAACGCTTTTAAATGATCCCACTGTCAGCTGTGCCTTGAATACTGGGTCCAATGTTCTGAGTCCTGACACATTTGACTTTATGTCATGCAAACAGAGTGACCCTAACATGATTATGTATAAACCCTTTGGCCAATCCCCACCCCCATTATGGATCCACGTTATACTTTCATCCCTTCCTACTATTATATATCCATGTTCTAACCCATCACTGTATCTATCAGCTATACAGATAAGTATTTTGATGAGTTCTAAGGATAATAATAAAAGTATATACATGTCATGTTTGACTTTCCTGTTTGTTATTCTGTAAATGTTATACTACAACCTATTAACATTTATTTGGATCTTTGGCACAGCTTTTAGAAATATGAGATAATTAAGGACCCCTGACCAAAGATGAATGAAGCTGAATGAGCTCCTCCTTTCAAAGAGTGCAACAGAGGTAGATCACATGAAATTAGCTGAAATCACCAGAGGTCATGGTGGGCAGAAAATAACCCAGAGACAAGTAGAAAATGATTCAGAGTCATAACAAAAGGCTGAGTGGCAGGCACCTTTGTTTAGTACGAAATGGCAAACAGAATTGAAATGACCAGCACACCCACACATTTATTTCAAGATGTTTTCTAAATTCCAATTTATTGCGTAACGTTCAAGCCTTTAGCTACGAGACAGAAACAGAAGGGTCATTCAGTTGCTAAGGAAATAATAAGACTAGATTATTTGGGGAAATGTAGAACCAAATTAATGTGATTTTTTGAGGCCTCTGAATTCTTACTGCAGATATGTGTATAATTAAATACTTCTTCCCAGAGTGAATAAATAATTATTAACATGTCTGAATTCTGATCCTATAATCAAGTCAAAAAACCTAAGTCTCAACAGCTTCTGAGCACAATAGAAACATACTATATACTGTATGCTTATATAAGCATAAGAAATCTACACTTAATTAGGTTTCCATCCTCGTCGCAACAAAGAAAACCCTTATGCAGCTATTTTTTATATTGTTTTTATACTTTCACGCATTTTTTTTAAAATCAATACAGCTTTATTAAGATGGAAGTTTTTTAAAGTTGTAAAGTTCCTTTTTTTTCTGGATTTTTGGACAGTCTATAGTTAAAGCTATGACTTTCTAAATAACTGCAGATTTACTGTAAAAACCTCAGCTTAGAGGACTTTAGCCGAGCCTCTCTGGCGGATGTGAGAAATTATTAGACTGACATAAACACTGATTTCAGCAATAATCATCGTTTTGCCCGGACAGCAATCCTATCGAAGCATTAAACCTCGGCTGGTGCTGCAAGAGGAAACCTGGCCAACATGTTCCAGATGACTGCAACGGAAACACATCTCACAGTGCGGATAGTTATGAGAGAACGATAAGCTGCTGCAGTTTTTTAAATGTCACTTTTGGCTGTGCTGCAAACACAGGCCCAGACGGTGTGACTGATCTTACCTTTGACTGCATAGCAAACAGGCTGATGCCAAAAGTAACGAAAGCTGTCGCACCCACAGCCCACATAACTGCTTCGGCGTTGAAGTAGCTGCAGACAGAAATATCAAACAGAAGTTGCATGTTGGAAATGAACCTTTTTATGTAAGTAGTAAGTAGGCAGAGAGCATTAGCTGAACAGTAGGGGTCTTTCTCTATCAGAGGGAATGTTAATTGAGTTCATAAATGTAATTTTTTCCCACCTTCATAATGTCACAAACCAAAGGAGAAATCCTTAATGTAAGGCTTACCTTCATAATCATTTTTGAACTGATACAACTGTAGCTGATTTTGCCACATTTAACCCACAATTTCAGTGCTTTTTTCTCTGCAAGAACAACAGACTAATATGTACATAGAAATGATATGTAAGTAAACACATTTTAACAATTAAAAATAGCTTTCCATATTTAGAGATGATACTCTTTTTTGCACACTCCACTTTGCAAAAGTCCATTAGCTCAGTCAGACTGAGTGGAGAACATTTTTAAACAGTTATGATGTTAGTTCAATGACAAAACAAGCACTTACCAGGAAAAGCATTACGTTTAGTGTTGGTCCTGTCTAATCAGAGCATCCTTAATATCCATGGCTCACTGTTTTTTTTTAAATTGGAACCTAGAACTTACAGTTTTTTGCCTTTCCTTTCATACAGGCTAAATTCATAGATTCTATAAAAGTTAACATATTTCTCAAATTTATCTCAACTTAGCTCACCAAGAGTTCTTGGAGCTTTTCTTGGGAGTTTTTAGTTGAGCCGTACACTTTCGGATATAGAATAATTATTGATTGAAGTTAGGAGAATTGTTTAGATATTTTTGTTCAGAACTGACCCAACGAAGACTTCTCCCCATGACCTGTCTGCTGTATCAGTACTGTTTTCTGAAAAACCTCTGAAGCTCTAAAGAATAATGGTATTTGAGATAAAACTCAACTAACCTTCTTAGTAAGTAAATATGTCCCTCTTTTTTTTAATAAGTGATGGTATCAGACAAAATGGTTTTGAATGTAAATGCATGGAAATCTTTAAGAAGGTAAAAAATATATATATTAGTTTCCCCAACATATCCTTACTGTTGGTTTACTCTATACAATCCAGAAAAAAATGCATTGAAGTTTGTGATTGCAATGTGACAAAATGTGTACTTTTGAAGGCACTGTATCTTTAATTCTAGCAAAATTCTATAAATATGATAATTTCCCTGGATAAGAGATCATCACTCCTGGGCTGATATGTCTGACAGAATGACTTGTAGCTAAAAAAAAATAGATAGCAAACTGACTGTATACCAAAAAGAAAAACATCTACACAGATTCTGGTTCAATCCCTCAATGCTTCTGGTGTATTCCCAACCAGAAGCCCAGAAAATATGATTTTATAACTTTTTGTTTTGGTAATGTTATCTAGATCGATGCCTTCAAGCCTTGCATCAAGCACGGCATCAGATTTGGGACAAATCGGATTATTAAAGTGCAAATGAGTAAGAATCAGGTGGAGATTATCCTCCGAAACAAACACTCACGCTGCAACAGATCCAAGCATCAGGCCCTCTGCAACAGTCTGAGTTGGAAAGAGAAAGGGAGACACAAACACACAAAAAGAAAAAACAAAAACAAACATGAAACAAGGCGAGGATGGTGGTGTTTTAATTTGCTGCCTGGATGGTGGTGCTTCTACTCACAAACGTGCCCAGAGCTATAAAATTGAGGGGCACCCGGCGACGGATATTATCACAGCAGGCTAAAACCACAATGAGTACCAGCACCACTGACCTGTATAAGCATAATGTGTTTCATAAATATCAAATAAGAAGCTTATAAACAGACAAAGGCATTGGGCTAAAGTCATAGTGTTGCTGTTAGTTTTTTACATGGTACATGGAAGTACTAAAACAATACTGTGTAACGTTTAGCTACCAGGAGTGCTAGACTTAAACTCAAAAGTTAAATGCCACTCCATTTGATAATACTCATGGTGTCTGCTGCCACTCTACTACATAGGCTTCTCTGTTCTTATCGATTTTTCACAACTTTCTCATATTTTCACAGAGATCACATATTTTCACATATCCATTACTGCAAAAATGTCCACAGCTGTACATTGATTATTTATTTTCCAGATACACAGTATTTATATTATATAAAAATTGTACAGCACGGTATTGTGTTTGTTGCTTTACTTAACTCTGTCACTTATTCTGTTATTTTTATACACTTTTCACACATTTTTGCTATAACCTTTTGCTGCTGCAATACCAGAATGTCCCCATTGTGGGACAATAAAGGGATTTCTATTCTATTCTATTCTATTCTATTCTATTCTATTCTATTCTATTCTATTCCTTTCTATTCTATTCTATTCATTTGCAGTATTCAGAAGCAGGCCATGTTTTGGAATCTGATAGCAGGCAACTTTGAAAAACCAGATTAAAAGTAATGGAGTTACTTTTAAAAAACGCCAGCATTGACACATCTATATTAAATCCTAAAATCAGGGACCAAAAAAACAAAAGTCTGATCAGGTAACTGTCACATCAGTTTTGTTGCCAGATAGCAACTTTTATCTTAACTACAGTAGCTCTAGGGTTTAATGGGAGCTCAGACTGCTTTGAAGTGGCTTTGTGGGCTGTATGACTCATTTAGTGACGGATCCAACCCTCTACAGTAACATAGGTGGATTTTTAAGAAGGGCAACTAGGCAAGATTATCTATACGCTCATTAAATGAGATTAGAAATATTTTAGATTAGGTTAATACTTGGGTTAAACGTAACGCAGTGTTGCTTTAATGAAGATTACTCACTAGAAATGACAGGAGCAAAGGGTCAAAATGGTTACAGTGTTTTGGCTTACATCATAGTGTAGGAGAACCAGTAGTTGTTATAAATCCAAGTCTTCAGTGTGTTGCTGTCATGAAAAGCAGAAGAAAGAGAGGAAGGATTATTTAATATAGCCACTATTTATTTAATAGAAGCAAGGGAATTATTGCATGTAATAGTTATAGAGGACAGGACATTCCACAGGCAGAAGCTGAATGCCATGCCCAACGCTTTCCACTGCATCAGTTACATAAAACACATATGGTTCCAACTAATGCAGTCTAAAACATAAACACTCTTCACTAAATCAGGATCTGTAATAAATTACTGCATCAAGCCACAGCCATTTTTAGCCCATATACAATCATTTATCTATAACTACAAATTAAAAATTATATTTTGATACATTTTGATAAATCACAAACTCTGGGTGAAAAGTGATGTACACAAGTTTCAGGTCTCATTTTGGGTCTACACAGGCTTGAAAAAAGGAGATATCAGGCAACAAAACATAAACAATGCCGATGAGGGTAAATACTTTATCGACCAGCGGTACCCATAGTGGGAATTCCCCAACTTCTACTTTTTCAGGTGTACTTTCATACACAGACAAGTCACATGTCAGGAATTTGGATATTAAGGCTTGTGAAATGGCTTCAGAGAATTTAAGAGTCGGTGTCTCACCAGTAAATAAAGGCGCAGATAATCCCAACAGTACACAGCAACTGAATCATCAGGGTCAGGTAGACTTTCAGAATAAAACCTGTGGAATGTCAGGAGAAAAAAGGGATGGAGAAGTATAGCAAGGAAAAACACCACAATTTAACACAACATGGAGAGTTTTTCAAAGAGAAGCATGATGGCAAATTTGATGTTGGTGCAGATTGTTTTTTTTTTCTTTTGAAAAATTGGCCAATATCCAAAAATACTCCTCTCAAACAGTTCCTAAGTTAATCAAACAGTTCTTGATAAGGAGTTTTAGTCTTAAGAGTTATTGAGTTAGCGGTTGGGAGTGACTGAAAGTAAGATGATAAAAATGTTTATGTTAGTTGGCTCCGTTGCTAGGTGTGACACTGAAGAAAAAACAAAAAGCCCTGGGAGTGATGCATGGAGTGAAAAAAAAACAATCAAATATAAAAGACTGGCTTACAAAATGTGTGTCATGATGGTGAAACTTAGATAGAATAGTAGATAATTAGATAGAATAATAAATAATAGACAATACAATTGATGGTCACACAGTATCCAAATGTTTGAATACATGTTATTTACATCTTCACATTTAAATTTAACTGTTTGTTATGTGTTATGTTGTCATTTTACTTCCTCTATTTAGGTTTAATGGACACTCACCCGTAGGCCTATTACTGTTATTGCCTGCTTATAAAGCGGTTTGTTTGGGACAAATTGAGATAACTGAACCGGACAGAGGAACCGCGCCTGTTAGTGGCAAATCTCTGGGAGGAGAATAAAGGAGCTCTGAAAGGTATATTTGGTCCACTGGTATCACAGTATGAACAAAGAGTCAGACTTTGAAGCATATTGCCAAGCAGATTAATGCGTCATTCTCTCTGATTTCATCAGCCAGGAATGTCAGACAGAGTATGCTGCAATCAAAAATCAGAGAGGAGATCATGGCATCAAGAATTTCTAGATAACCATTTGGAATATGACTGCTGACAGGGTCATGTACATACTATAATATACATAATAGAGCTGTATGTTATTGTACTATATTTAGTCTAGAATGTATTTATATGTTTATCTTTTCTTTAACTTTTTCAATTACTCTTCAAATATTAGTGTTTGAAAACATTCTACATTCTGCTAATTGTTTTTGCAATTTTTCACTTTTTACTTGTGATTATTACAAAAAAAATATATATATATATAAAAATAAAAAAAAAGAATTTATGAGTAAAGTGAACCGTTAAGGCTGGTGAAACTATTTGATATCCATCTAAGGAGATGATATATTTAATCTTATCTCAATACTGACAGGAATAAAAGAGTTATAAAGCTTTACCTTTACCCCATGTGCATCAATTAAACAGGTCTCTGTTTCTGGTATCTTCTCTACTTTAGGTTCCCTGAAAGTCCTCCTCTCTATTCCTAACATTTTCTCAGATTATGAGCACTCTTACAGCAGCACTAAGTACTTCATATATCCTCTTCTAAGTCCCTGTGATGGCAATCAAAGTAAATGGTCTGAAATCTCACCCTACTGGCTCTGGTCGGAAAACCACATTTTCAAGTTTGTATGCCATTGACCCAGCGGGAGTCTTATTGTTCTGTTCTCGTTCTCTAAGTAAGATGAACACTGTTATGGGAGAGGTTTGCGATGGCGCTTAATGTGGTGGACGCACAAACAAAGGGTTAGTGCTAAGGGTTAATGCTTAGGGGCTGGTCGGCATCCGGCCACACTGTGCATTGCTATAGTGCTGTGGTGCAGGTTGAGATGAAATCAAACTTTTGCTACTTTCTTACAAATACATTTATACAGCCAAAATAAATAACTATTGTATTTCACGGAGGATATCCCATTCATCACGTCTTTTTCTTCTTCCAAACTGGTGATTTTTTATTGGTCAATGTGATGAGTATGCAGCAAAACCAGTGGAACTCAAATTTGAGCTTAAGTGTATCCTCTGCGATTTGTTCGCTGTTACACCCGCTGCACTGATGCAGACTTGCTTTTTGAGGGCTGAAAGATCTTCTCGCTCTAACCACTTCTTTGTTCGGGATTGTCCTAATACGGCGGATCCTCTGCTGACATGCACAAAAGGAAGGTTTGAGCTTACAGGGAGTGTTTAGGGGCCAGTTTGGATCCGACATGTGGTTTTTGGATGTACTGTTGCTCTTGATAAACCCCCCCCCCCCCACAAAAAAAAACAACAACATAAAACCGTTTCAGATCAGGCAATGCTGTTATTGGACTTGTAACTACCACATCTACTAACTTCTGTTATTTGTAATGTTGTGAATATAGAGTGCTATGTTTTAACATGCCACTATCAAACATTGAGTGTCTGACTCACCCTATGAGAGAGGATGAAACATGAATTCTACATAAGTAACAAGTTGATGTAAAAATGCTGCTGCACTAGCTTATATTAAACGATGGAAAATACTACCCACTTCTCTTGACATTTGGTCATGATATGCATCTTCAGTGTTTACAACATTGCTATTTTCAAAAGAGCCTGTACAGGGAGCACGACTCAAAACTTAATTGTTGCTGTTTTTACAACCTAAGATGCTTTTTTAAATACCTTTTATTTTAGCAATGCAAATTCTGTTTTCAGTAAAGCTGCTTCTAATCCAATCATCTAAAGACATTAGTGATGAATTGGGGGTAAAGAGAGCTGAGGGTACAAAAGGCACAGATCAAAGTGAATGGTTTTAGTTCAAGATATATATATAGTTATAGTTATCCACTTATAACCTTGAGCATAATAAAAACATGACTTTCTCTTTCTTTAGCCCTCACCTCTCCGTATTCCAGCGACACTGAAGGGGTTCTCCTCAGATTCGTGGGAATACACAGGTGGATCCTGACTGTAGTACTGGTTGCCTCCATATGGGGGTGGTTCCTGAGGAGGGACTATGTTGCCGTAGGAGGCAGGACGAGAGACGATCGCAATGTTCCCATTTCCAACCTATAAAGTCAGTCGGATGTTAACAGAAACATATTTGGACGTGCCATACAATACACAAACTGATGTCATGATATTGGTCATGACCTTGGCTTAATTACTCATTTCATTCACCTATCTAACTCCACCCAGTCATCAGTAGCAGATTATTCTCAAGCCAGTGGTGAGAGTGTTTTCAGTGTTACCAGTGTTACCTTAGTGTTACCACTGAGCATGTCTGTCCCCATCTGATCTGTTTGCCTGACCTGTCTGCTGACTCCTGCTGGATTCTGCCTGTTTGTTGAATTTGGAGCTGTTTCCTGTCACCGACCTGGATTTCCCTTCGTAACCTCTTTAGACATCTTATCTCCTGTTTCTGTACCCTGAGCACATTTTCGCCACTGGCATTTCCCTCTGGATTATCCTGCCTTCTTCATCTGCGAGGATCTGATCTCCTGCTTGTATTCCATCCTCCGGGGCTACAGCATCTGGGACTCAATGAGCTTTGTCAGCCGTGTCTTGTTGTCATGCTGGCATCAACCACGTTCTCTGGGCACAGACTGAGCTATTAAACGAGGTTAGTGACTCACATTCATAGTCTTGCCCTGCCGGATTTAAGTGGTCACTAACCTGCGTTTCCTTTCTCTAGAGGTTCCTGCTTTATCTGCTGTTACTGCAGAGTTGTTTTTAAATAAACTCTCTTTTGAGTAATTGTACTGTTACTGTTAAGTAATCGTCTTCCTTGCCTTGAATACTGGGTCCTCTGTTCTGAGCCATGACACTGTAACTTTTAAAGATCGGCAATTTTAGAGAAATGTTTTGCTAAGGGAAATATGATAAATTATTTTTTTGTATTTCTTATGGTTCTTACCTGGATTAAATGTTTTATGAAAATGTCATAATACTGACTTTGTTATGTTTTATTGAGACATATATTTTTTAGTAAATTATAGTTTAGAGTGTCTTGTTTTACAAGAAGACTTCAAGTATGCCAGTGTCACTAACCTCGTATGTCATCCCAGTGTAGGGATTTCTTTCATAGTTTGGAGGGCTGTAGGGATGAGGGTGACGTTCAAATCTCCCTGCAGTGTTGCCATTCGTCTGGTCCATTTCACTGAACATAACCGAATCTTTCCATCAACCTAAGCACAAAACTGACAAGAGAAGATATAATGCACATGGCAGCGAATTAAGGTGATAGCTGAGGCCCAGAGGCATCTTTTTGGAGAGTATCAGGGGTTTCATCAGTGATGTTAAACTGGCAAATGGGGCACTGTCAGCAGGGAACAAATAAATGGGTAATTACAAAATGATGCATTGCACAAACACACAGCCAGCCATGACTAACATCCATAATTATGGCCTTAAACCCCTTAACTTAATAGAGCTGTATGTATTTTTTATTGGCCAGATAGAATGTGGTTAATTGATCTCAAAGGATATCCAGCTGTCATTATGACAGACACGCACACATAAAAAGATTAGGCAAAAACAACTTACAATTCTGTTCTATGTGCAGAAAAGAAATAAAAAAACAACACTAACTTGTTCAAGATGGTATTTCTTTGTTAATCATTTAATAAGGTGATAATTACAGTGACAATGAAAAGCTGTGGTAAAAATAATATTGGCAAGAGAGCACATTGAAATATTTTAAAGCAAATAAATCCACTCTGATATAAAAACCAACATTAATTATCTTCATAACAAGTAATTCATCTATTGTAGTTATAAAGAATTATCCATCAAATAAAATCATGTTCTGTTCCCTATTCAGACATTACCAGTCGGATACATCTACTGTGAAGAGAAACCACAAGATCAGACATAAAGCTGACTTTGTTTTAGCTTGTGTCGAAAACTGTAAAGCAATTATTATTCCCTCCATCATAAGGCACAAAGAGCTCTTTATATATTTAAGGTCGGCAGAAAGGTGTTTAATTAAGGCTATTTATTGAAATAAGCTAATTACAACAGGAGTTCATTATGTTTCGCCTTACCTCTGCTGTGGAGACCATTTAGCAGCGGTTTCGCTTTAGGGCAAAGTCTACCTGCTATCAGCTGGTACCCACAGAGACTGGACTTTAGCTCTTCAGGGAATGGATGGGCCCAACATTAAACCTAACGGGATATTCAGATGAAGACAGCTGACACTGGGCCAGAATTAATTAAACCTTTCTTTTTTTTTTTTTTTTCTAACCAACACTGAATCACTTCGACCTTTAGAATAATTTCATTTGCATCACCTATGCCTGTTTTAATAAAGGTATGTTTTGAAATTCAATCTCCTTTAATAGGACACTGTAGGCCTGCTGTCTGAGATAAGTCTATAACTTCCCTGCTTTCTAGCACAAACGGAAAGGAAAAAAGAACAATGTCTGCCTTTGAAATCCTTTGAGTCCTCTGGCCTTCATGGTTAACCTTGGTTACCTATTGATAGCAGTCCGCCGGTGCAAACTATCCACCGACGAAGAGATGGATGTAAAATGTATGCTATCAGGCTTGTCTATTCTAAAGGATGTTAGCTGCTGGGTCACATCAGGAGGAAAGAAAAGCTAAAGACCTATTGAAAGCGCCAGAAATACATGAAATAATGTAGGTCAATACAGTCTTAGTGGTACTTCATGGAGAATTGCCACTAAAGGGGTTATATTGAGGAATCAATCCACGAATCAGAAGCAGCCAACCACAAACCTATTTTCTATAAAACTGTGTATTACAGTCGATTACACAGTTTAAAAGACATAAAGAAACAAATGTTCAAGGAAATATAACTAAATTACATTCACGCAAATCCCAAGCCTGAACACTGAGCAGCTCAGCTTATGATTTCACATTAAGAGGTGTGACAGACTCATATGAATTACTCTAAAATATCTTAACAATTAAATTGTGGATTTCAGAGCATTTTAGTGCCAAACTCAGAGTGTATGGTACAAAACAGAAAAGAAAAAAAGGATTCATTCCAGGTAATTTCACCCAGACTATTAAGTTTATATTTATACAGCAAGTGAACACTTGGGGGCACTAGTCTCCTATGCTTCCTCTGTTAATTGCAGTCATTTGATTGTGGCTTTGGCCCTTCTCAGGCTGTCACCTCCCCACCCACCCAGCCAACAGCTCCAAATCCTCCAGAGAGCTCTCTTAAAACCCGGCTGCCTCTTCATCTTATCTGCCGGATCAAATCCTTCATTTCAGTCTCCAACGTGTGATATTTGTGCTCTTTTTAAAGTGTTTCCAAAATAAAAAAGAAAAACAGATCACATCATTTCCTGTGTTCACACAGTGATAAATAAATAAATAAGATAAAGCAAGAATAAAATAAAGACGTCATCTTTGAAGGCACAGATAGCGTTTTTCGCCTCAAACACAGGCTCTGGGCTCTGTTCACGGCTGATTGGTGTGTCAGTCAACACAGGCTGGATTTACAATGCCTGCTCAAATCTGATGAGCCTGCTCCCACCTCTGCATCAGATCTCGGCTGGATTTGAATGGGCGGCACAACAAACACAGTCACATTTGAGCAGGCAGTTGAAATCAAGCCTGTGTTGACATACCAATCAGCGTGAGGCCAAATTTAAAATGGATCAGATTGCTTCAGTGCCATACAAACCAGAGGAATGCGGGGCTTATGAAGCATAATATGTGATGAACTGAGAGATGGGGTTTGTTCTTCTATCAATCTGTCTGTCTACATATGAAAATATTGTGAAAGTTAAAAAAAAAAAAAAAGAAAGAAAGAGCAAAAGAAATACAGACGTGTACCTTTAACGTCTGCTGACAGCTCCGTTTTGTCTGCTGAGATGCTCTCTGGGGCTTTTGGGACAGGCAGAGGGGAGAAGAAGAAGAAGACGAGATGTAGCCATCATGAGAGTCTCTTTTTCTGATTTTGCTGCTGTGAATAACTGCTTTATGGCCAGCCTAGCCGCACAAGGATTTATTTGAAGAATTGAAACTGTGGTTTGTGTGGCCTCAGAGAGCTGTAGTGCAAGTCCGTGGATCCGTGCTACAACATGCGCCTTCATTTCTAATTTACAACCTTCTGGAGCTGCTAATGTAGAATTTCTCTGGGATGTATTGCTGATGAGAAAGTTCAGTGGAGGCTCACACGACACAGTGTGTTACTGTAAAATGATGTGGTATTCTGAACTGATTTACACCCTAATGTCATCTGCTCAAGTGCAAGGAAGGTTTTTTGAGTTTAAATTTGTACGGTATGGCATGTATATTTGTCCAATCTCTCTTACTCTGATGGTCTTAAATAAAATATAACTATGTCAAGAATGATCAGCTTATCTGTGCCCAGCAAAGAAAAGAAACCCCATATCATGATACCGCCACTTGTGTGTTTTGCCTTGGAGGCGCTATGGTCAGCATTGGTTTTCTACTACGGTTTGCATAAGGGTCAAAATGTGAAGCTTTGTCAAAATAACTTATTTCATTTGATTAATATTTCCTCTGCAGGAAAACTGCACACAAGACTTCTTATGTTTTCCTTAAAATAATTTTTTTGCCACTGATGCCTTGTTTCCTCATGTTTTAAATCCTTATCTTCCCCCCTGTGTTTGAAAATTAACTTTACTAACTATACCTTCTAACCCATCCTTCAATGGCTGGATATGGATGAGAAGTGGCTGTGCCTTTGTGCTGGTTGCTCTTTCCTTGTCTGCTACACAATGGTGGAGTGCCTTCATGGACAGCTCCTCTCCAGGTCTTCGTAACGATTGCTTTTTCTTCCCAGTTCGTTTGTTCATTATTTTTCTCTAGCAAACCTGTAAAGCCTCAGAAAACAGCTGTAACTTACACAGAGGGGGGTTTCTGTTCAGCAATAAGATGACTCATGTCCACAGCTGTTTCATCTTCGGGTCATTCCAGATTTTATCTCAACATTTTAAATAAACTATGCACAAAAAATGAAAAGACGCATCTTCTATGTAAATGTCAATTGGCCTGACACATAATATAACGGTAGCTCTAGTAAATGTGATCCTTAAATGCAACTTTTGACCACCCACTATAATAGCTATTTGTTTTTGTTGCCTCAATGCCTCCCGTATGATGACCAAGTTACAAATTAACTATAGGAGATAAAATAAGACCTTATCTTTCTTGTAAATATTAAATCATTTTATTGTACCACAGATATACTCCACATGGTAGTTATTATGCTTTACAGCTATGTCTCCCAACATGCACCTAACCCTACCTCCAAAACCTTTTGGACGAAAAGATCAGCTAAAAGAAAAGACACTGTAAAACTGAATAGTGTTTTTAACCATAATGGAGTGGATCACTCGAAGCAATGCAGCTCTGTTACTCAGGGAATCATATAAAAATATTTTGCAATCATAGTGTTTATCTATTCTGTAGAGAGGTTTGATATTGATCAGTTACAACCCTGTAACCTTAATGAGTGTAACAGGATTGTTCTACACTGAAACGGTTTCATCCTTTTCAGAAAAGACACCCTATAAGCCATAATATATTTCTTTATATAATGTTTAAAAATCATTGCCATTTATTTTATTAAAGTTTTCTGGCCATTGTTATTTACTTTTTTAAATGTGTCTACTGTACTATTGGGCAGATCTAAATTGTGCTCCTTTTGCCAAGTTCAATGTTTTATATGAGCCATCTTATTTATGCCTTGAAGAAGGAAAATATATCAAATATTTTACCCAACAATACTGTGATTGAGTATTTCTTTGTCACACTTATGTCATCATTTACAAAAAAATAAAATTAGTTCCTTCAACATTTTGCTCTGTGTGACCCTGTTACTCTAGTTTCCCCCCTCTTATTATATCAACACTGAGAAATTATCTTGAATTACATTCAAAGATTACACTACTTTAACCTGTTGTCCTCATAATAGATTAAATATGTATATACCATGATGGAAATAGATCATGAGGAACATAAAAACTTGAGTTAGATACATTTAAGAAGTTGCTTGAATTAATTAAAGTCATCCATTTTGTGAAATGAAGCCTAGGCGGAAGTTCAACTGAAGAAACTAAATTACTTACCCTCATCCATCAGAGGCTCATCAGCCTCCGACAGAAGCCAATCACCTCCAAAAAGCCCAATCAGCATCCAGAGTTCCTCTTAAAAGGTCTTCAAATCCACGACTCAGCCTGCTACCTAGCCAAAGGGCAAGCAGTGGTTGCTTTTTCTGATTTTGACTCAGATGACCTCCGATTTAACCCACCTCCATCCCTTTCTCCATCATCGTAGCTAAGCTCCATCTGGCTTTTCCATGGTGCTTCTTCAACTTCGTCCCTATCAGACTGTAATTCCTACTGGACTCTTACTTCATTCCCCGTCACATCTCATGGGTCCGGCAGATGACTGCCTGGTCCTGCCAGAGGTTTCTTCCCAAAGGGGATTTTTTCCTCTCCACTGTCGCTTCATGCTTGCACATCATGTACAGGTTCATACATACCTGTGTTTAACCATACTGGACACCTATCTTCCTGGTCCTGAGTAAAGCAGTATTATCAGCTCCCACAGTCTACTGGATCTCATTAATTCAGCACAAGCAGACCGTCTCAACAACCAGCAGTCTATGGACTGAACCAACTTCCTCTATCTCCACTCCACCACCAGTTTCAGGCCTGTGGGGAATCATCCCTGTTCTCAAACACCTGCTTATGCATATTAAAGTAAAATTCAGCGCTAATGTTTCCTGCGGAGGTCTGACTATCAAAGTCTTAAAATAATGGTATCAATAAAACTCTTCTAATTGTTTTTTTACCTGTGAGTTTTTGAGATTGAAATGAAATTAGCATAAAAGAAAATCAGTAATACTTTTTATTTTTAAGGTACATGAGAATTGCCTTATAAAAACTATGCAATTGATGGTTTAGCTGGATGACTCATATTTTATGATGTTTTTTTATTATTTATTTTCTTGAAAGCCCAACAAAAAAAAGCAACGATAAATAAAAAAGAAGATACTGGATCCTATACTGTCTAAAATCTATTTTGGAACGCCCCTTCACTGTAAAAGATGGCTAAACGCCACTGTTAAGCACTACTTAATGTCGGTGTAACATGAAACTGTATAAAGTATATTTAAGCCCACAGTTTTAAAGT